TGCTAGGAGTGATGAAGGACCAGGATCAACAGTAGAGGAGCATCTCTGAAGTGTTGCTCTGTAAAACAATACTTGTGATCAGCAAGTGCTTTTCAGCAGAAATCAGGTATTCTAAAGATGATCTGTACATTGCTTTTCCATCAGTTGTACATTGCTTTTCATTCCCACCAAAGGAATACCACATACCTAAACACTCCTTGTTCATAAACCATAGAAGTGAAGCATTCTTGGCACAGTCTGCTTCTTCCTTGTGTTATTTGTATGATTAGAGCTCTCCCTTTTGGCAGAAAAGGTATGAAGCAGTCACTTTACTAAGTGCAGTCATTTAGATAATAGCAGGGCTGCGGCTGGATTTAGAATAACTCTGATGCCCTTTTCATTACTGCTGACATTGCTTCCAGTTGCAGATTGATTCAAAGTGGGAAGCCCGATTTATACTTAAATGCTCTGATTTCCTCTCGCCAGGGGCTGAAGAGAGCTTTAAACAGGCGAAGCCACTGAAACGTGCAAAGCTCCACTAAATATTGCGAAATGCTGGTTAAGATTTTTTTTAATGTTATTGAAACATAAAAAAACAAACAAAAGTCATAATTGAAAATTCCTCAATGTTAAATAATTTACTGGAAACCCAGGATAAACACAACAGAAGTGCCCCAACATTGCATTCTCTCTTGAAGTCTGCAGGTTTACATTTTTGTTTGAGACTTTGTTTGAACACTGCTTTTCAGAAGAGAGTGCAGTATTACAAAATGCTGTAATTATACTTTAACCAGTCTGTCTCTCTCTCCAATGGGTTTCCCTACATCCTTCGTAAGTAAGGTTTTAAGTACGGAAAGGTAAGCTGTTCATTTACTGAGCCAATTTACTATGCCTCTACTCTGAGCTCACAGTGCACTCATGAATTATCCAAATTATCAAATGCAAAGATTATTAATTTAGTCTTATGCTTGTTGTTGTAGAATGTGTGAGTTGCAACAAGTGCAGGAAACATCAACTGCAGGTTTCACTTTTAGCTGACAATAAAGCGATGTGACGATTGGCCAGGGGTGTGCCAGCTGCAAACATGCATCTTTAGAGCAAACTTCAAATCAGTTTTTCCCAGTGAACCTTCCTACAAACAAAAAATGTATTTCTGGGTATAAAGTGCTTTATTTAATAGTTATGATCTACAGTCTACCAGTAAAAGACATTAAAATAGTTTAGCTCCCTTTGGGTGTGTTTGAGTTGCTTTCATTCAGGATTCATGTGCAAGCCAAGCTCCTTGCCTTGTTCAGACACTGAAAGATTTCAATTGATTCTAATACTGACCTAAAACAAGCTGTGATACATTCAGGACAGATTAGAGTAAACTAGCCTGCATTGGTTCTGCTTTCTATAGGTCAATTGGAATTGGAGATGTTTCCCTACATGAAGGGTGCTATATAAATTCAAGTCATTGTTGTTGATGTATTTGAAGGGTAAATGATTGCCAAGTCATAGTGGAATTGTACCCTGTGACAATTTAACAAGGCAATGAAAGAGAGCTGTGGTGGTTTTGTTTGCATTTGACTCTCTATAAGGATAGTTAATGAAAAGAGAGATTGTTGCCATTAAAAGCTAAAAGGTACAGGGAGGGAGAACATTTTTAAGGGTATGTTGGAACTTGGAAGCTTCAAACCCTGATCATGTGGTATAGCCAACTCCCTTTTCCTCTTTATCCAGTCACTGGAATCCTGATCGGTTCTCTTTGTTGACTTGATTCTTTGAATTGCTGATTGCTAGCGGGTTGAAACAATTTTTTTAGGCAGAAAAATCGGCCATGGGCTAATTGTTAGCTGTTTGGGTTTGGCGTTGAAAATTGTGATAACTGTTTGCTAATGAAATGCATTGAATTAGTAGCAATCATTAGGGATTATGAGGCTTGCTGACTTTTCACTTCATGTAAATAGACTATAACATTGATTTTAATGAGATTTAATCTGGTGACAAAGAAACGACTATTATTAACTCCATATAATGGGGAAATATGTAGTGGATGTGCTGAAATTGCAGCTGCTCCTGCCTCCACTCCCTTCTTATGGCCTTTGAGGGTTAATGGAACTTTTGGAATCGATGCACGTTCTGGCAAATAGCTCCCCTTCTCCTTGTCAAATTGGCTTAAAATGCTTTGTTTTGTCCAAGCACCGTGAACTGATAATATAAATGGAGATATTCCATCACAGTTTGTTCCCTGCTGTTTTAAAGAGAGAATGTCACTGTCGTGGCAGAGTTTCCAGGCAGACTGACAGCTCAGCTGAAAGTCCATGGCGGCCTGAGTAAACTTGTCTTGCAGCAGGTGGTGTGGTGTGTGTGCTGCGATGGGAAAGGTTTGTAATACGGTTTAACTCCAGTCGTCTTAATGAATTTTGGCGATCACATGGCTACAGTGGGTACAGAAAGCTCAAAAATGGTATTGTCGTACTGCAGAGCTTTCCTGTGCACAAAGAGCAATCTCTGCTCAGGAGTGTGATTAACTCAGTTTTGACATACGTCAATATCCCATTAAAATCTAGCCTTTGTCTGCCTAGAACACATGCTATGGTTGTGCATCTAATGTAAACTCTCTTGAATCTTAAACAAGAAAGTGATACATCTTGGTATAAATGTATGTCGCACACTGTATATTACTGCTGGTTAGTGAAATTCAATATAATTTCCATCATACTTTTCACGATGTGATTTGGAAGCATGATATGCATTTATTAATGCAGGAAGTCTCCGATTAATAAATGGCCCCATTCTTGCACTCGCTAATCAATCAGACACGTTGCTGCAAGCACAGCAGTCATCTTGGTGGAGTCACAAGGAGTGTTTGTTCCTCTACAGTGATTCCGCTGCGTGTAGCTAATTCAATCTGAAGATGGCCGTTGCGAGTCAGAACTGTGAACGTGCAAAGTGAGTCAGTGCGTAATGTTTTAATTAGAAGTTGGCAAACTCTCCTCCTTTTTCCCTTTTGTGAAAGCGTATGTTCCAGGGTATCTAAATTGTCTGTGATTCCAATTTTTTTTCAAGGTTGTGAGCAGGGCAGTGGTTTTATGGTCCTGTCGTGTCTACATGAGCTTGTCTTCAAAACCTGGAGTCGAACAAACTGGCCACTTTCTGGGTCTTGAGTTCAGGTCTGAGCTGACTGAACTAGGTTTCATTCCAGCTTGACCTGAACCAAACATATATAAGGAACTCTTCCTTTACAGTAAATAAAAATAGGAACTATGAAGCTCAATTGAATAAGGGCTTTTACATAGCACGTAAGCGGTTGGAGAGCTAGTAAATATATGAATTAATATTGAAGTGATTACAATTTATGTTGGTGTTGAAGAGTTGCGTCTGCTGAAAAAATTAGATTACTGCAATCATACGTACCATTCCCGTTTAACCTGAGCAGGAAGATTGCATTTGCCACTTTAGTCTGTTAATGAAAAAAGTGTTATCCTATATTATTAATATAAACTGACCCACTTCCAATTCCCTGCTAACCTCTTCCCTGGAGAGGACGATCTCCAGTATCACAAAATGTTACACTTTGTGGCCCAGTGCCAGAGTCAAATGAGCAGACATGGAGTCATGGCTGTGAATACATTTTGTATTAGGCGTAGAAACTGCAAGGAAGAAGGTACTTTATACACAGTAATATCTCTGATTTAAGAGCCTGCTAACCACATATAGTAATGAGGTATGCAAATTGTATTAATCCACATTGATTAATCTCTGTGAAAAATAAGCCTCTATAATTGCATTTAATGTCAAGACAACGCTTTTAGATTCAGAAGGAAGGGCTCCTTCCCTCTCCTTCACTTCATTGTGGTGTGCAAAGAAAATATTATTCTGGTCTCTCTCTGCTTTCATAAGAATGCCTTCCTCAAAAAGCCCTTCTTCACAATCAGCGTTCTTGTAAATCTGATATAGCTGAAGGGATCATATGTGTCTTAGTTTCATTCAACAGTATGCCTACCAAACACTGAGACATTGTACTGTTCTGGCTTTTGCATACAGCTATAGCAGTAAATTGCTTGGATCTGACATTAAAAAACTAACTGAAAGGCATGACTTGAAGCAGTGTTTAAGTTTTTCTTGACAGTGCTAGGGGCTGGATGTTACTGGTATTGTCGAGACCCTCACTCAGTATGAAAAGCCAGGTTTTAGCACGGTGGCATCCCAGAAGAATTTGTTTGCAAATTTTCTGATCCCCCTCGAGCTTTTTGTTTACTCAATGATTATCATTTAATGACTGCAGTATCTAATGATAAACCTGTATTTTTCTTTGCACTTAAAACTCTGCCAAAAGTACAAATGGTAGCCAGAAAATACATTTTCAAGTTTTCGTCCAAAGTTTTCAATAAAAGGACTTTAACTGGGGAAGGGGAGAAAACGGAGTTAATGAGAGCAAAGATAATATGAGGGTAGAACTTCTTTAGACTGGAGTTTCTACAGATGAGCATCCTTCATAGTCTAAAAATAACAATAAAATAATAATTAGAATGCTTTAATTTGATGTTCCACTTTATCGCATCGTGAAGACATCTCAAAGCGCTTCACAGGATGTACTGCAAAGTATTTTGTGTACTTTGTGGGCAAAACAGCAGCTTGCATTTATATTGCGCCCTTCACACTGGTTAGCATCTTAGAGCACTTCATGCAATATCATACAGTTTTAAATAGGAGAGCAACATTGTGCAGGTTGAAGAATAGCCAATTGTAAATACTATTTGTGTATAATGGCAGCTGGCATGATTTGGCTTTGTGCTAAATGATTCCCTTTCTCTTATGTCTGGTACCAGTTTGTGAACACATTGGCTTGTGGAAAACACTTGTTGAACTACCAAGGCTGATTGACTGCTGGAGTGGAGACTCAGTAATTTGTGTTAATGGATAATGGACAATCTTTTATTTCCTGTGATCGCCTGTAATGTGGAATTAAATGTCATGCAGGAAAATCTCTCAGCTGCTCCCAGTAATCTCTTATCTTATTATCTTATTATCTGCAGGAAGTGACTACAGCGATGTGTTGCCTGAGTCATTCCCATCAACCCCTGCTGAACCACTGCCTCGATTCCTGGTGGAGCCATCGGATGCCTACATTGTGAAAAACAAGCCTGTGGTGATGACTTGTACAGCCACGCCAGCTACGCAGATCTATTTCAAGTGCAATGGGGACTGGGTGCACCAAAAGGATCATGTGACTGAAGAGAATGTGGACACGGTCACAGGTAGGAATCATTCTTCTAGCACAATAAGGAATTCAGACTCCAGCAGCACATCAGTGTGTGCTATTAGCGAGACTCACAGATTTTGGTTCTGTGTTTTTTTCATCCTTTACAATGCATGCAAATGTGCCTTTCTGTACAACGAAGCACAGATTGTCCTACTGCGAATCAGTTCCATTCTACCTCGGTTTATCATATGGAAATTTCACCTGTGATAATTGCGTGACCTTGGCAAGTATACCAGGCAGATTGCCATTAGGCTGGTTTAGAAAGTAACCTGGCTTCTGCACGAGAACTTTGAGAGAGTGTTGAGTGACCCTATCACTCTCTTGATTGATGCACTTCCTGTCAGGAGTCAGAATTGAATCAGCTTTGATAATGGACAAATCTATCGCAAAAAGCAGAAGGCAGTGGAGAACCCAAAATCGAAAAGAATTAATTGCCATTTGATCCATACATAAGCACGCCAGGCTTGGAAACTCCATGACTTTTTATAGAATGGTTGAACCTTCAATCCCCTAAAAATTCAACAAAATCTATTAAAGTTGCAAAGATTATTTGTTAATTGAGTATTTGTAGTAGAAGGTTTTATGTAGCACTTTGTTTTATTTGCTCAGATGAGGCCCTCATCTGATTTTCTGTGGAAGTGGCTATATGTGGCATTTTAAACTGCACAGAAAATGGGTTTTCTTTCCCTCATGCCACACGGGCAAGACTCAAATGATTGCTGGTGTTCATTTCTGGTGTTACAGCAAGTTGCAGATAACTTCAGCAGCTGAGAGTATATGGGTTTGTATCTGCTACCTCCTGGTTTACAGGCCACAGAGAAGGGATAGTAAGTGGATGGTACTTTGACTCGCTCTTTCCCATTCTTTAGAAGGAAGGTCAAAAGGAACCAAATGCTTGCTTTTCTCTCCATTGATAATTTCTTTCTTAGTTGAATAATTTATTTTCCTCATCCCTTTCTCCTCTTAGAGGCACAGACACATATTAGGAGTGTGAGGTGTGGATCTGCAGATACCAACAGCTATGCGGTAACTTTACTAAAGTGACCGTTCTTTATATGCACACAGTGACATATTAATAATAACATTAATAATACCACACAGTGAGTGCCAGCAAGCTGTTCAACAGCAAAGGCCATCAAAGCTGCACTATCTTAATTTTTAAGACAAAATGGTCTTGTAGGCAAAGACGAAGTTTAATTGCAAGCCTCAGGTTGTTGAAACTCTGGCTGATCGTCAACTCTGTAACCCCTGATGCTGAGACCGGTTATAATGCCTTTACTGTCCCCTAAAATATGCTGCTTCCAACTGCTCATGCTGAACTTTAAGCAAACATAAGGAAGCTGCACAAAACCCACATCGCAATATTTACACAATGTCTGGGGTCACATGTGCAGTTGGGCAATCGTCTCCTAGTATACCAATGGATTGAATCTGATTCAGAGCTTCAAGTATGTTTTCTCGATTGGCACAAGAAATGTTCCTGCTAGAAAACATCCTCAGTTGGTACCACCGGCCAGGCTTTCTTTTGCCAACTTTATTTCTTATACTTTTCATTCACCAGATAGTTGGTGATACAGTCACAGTGACGGAGATTCTAGCACCATCAGTGCCAATTAGGCACAGATACTGGTCTGAAAAGACAACCTCACTGGTATGCAGAGCGTGAACTGCAGACAGCTTAAACTCGTGTTAAATGCTAATGTGTGTTTACATTACAAGGAGTATTCTTCCTGCTTTGAGCAGACCTATAATTATGCATTCAGAACACTGTCTCCATGATGTCTGTTCTTGGCCAACCTGAATGGCACCGATGGCATGTTTCTGTCAATACTCATTGTGGTGTCAGGACATATGTTATTTTTTAAGTACTGCTTATTTGCTTTCCCTTTGCTTAACAGCACAAAGACCCAATCCATGCTTGTAAGTAGGGCTTGTTTCGCCTGCGCTAATTAACTGCACTCATTGTGACATGAACAGACAGCAGGGCAAAAGTGGATTTCTGCTTATAGGACCCTGCATTTAAAAGTGTGCCTGTGATCAATGTCATTTTATAAAATGTAAATGCTGAATTGAAAACAGACTGAGCGGCAGACATGAAAGATGTCTGCTAACAATTTTGGAGACACTTATATATTCAGCTGGTGCTCCAATTTTTGTTTTGTTTATTAAAAAAAGGACGTTGTGGTGTCTTTCTACTTTTTCACTATTTTTACTTTTAAATTTTACTTTTTACTCTATTCCTGTTTCATCCCAATCCTGTGTTCTCTTGGATTAAGGAGCCATATGTCTAAGTATGTGCAAACTATAGCCTGTGTCAAACTGTTAGAGGATCCTGAGATAGTACACTTCCCTCTGTTTAAGCAGAATAATTTATTTTCTACCTGTTGATCAGGCTTAATACCTGAGATTTAATTAAATTCTCATTTTGGGAATAAGAGGGGTGGAATAGTTTGGCATTAGAAGTTGAGGACGAGGATTCTTAACCTGGTCTGCAGGGGGGATAGGGTGTCAGTGGAGCTGGGCAAGAAAGGATGTAATGGACTCTTGGAGGTGGGGAGACCAGCGAGCAGGAAATTGGAAGAGTAGTTTGGAAGTGACAATGGTTTGCACCCACTGCTCAGGGCTGCACAGGAGCAGCAAGGGGTGGCTTGGCTTTTACTTATTGTGGGCAAGTACTTTAGCTCAGCTTTCTCAGGCTCAGCCATGCGCCCAAACAACACTTCCACACACAGTGTGTCGCCACATCACAGCTATGTCTTAAGGGTTATTTCTATTTAGAGAAAGGGCAATTTGAGACAGACAAACAAAATTGCTGAGCTTCATTGCTGGCTGAAGACATGCTGACTTTGAATGAAACACAGCAGTACTTTTTAATCCAAAATTAAAGCAAAATATTAGAAATGCTAGGAATTAACATTTACTAAAATGTCAGTTTCAATCTATTCATTGTTTTTTCTATACAATGGAAAGTGGTGAGTCTGGCATGAAGGGCACTGTATAGATGCAAGTTGTTGCTGAGGGTTGAGAGGGTTAGAATGTGAATCCAGCCCACAAAATCACAAACCCGATCTCTTTGTTGGAGGTACAGTCCTCGTTTCTCACTCGTGTTCCTAGAAGGTTCAGCTGTGATCTACCATGGGATTAGTAACCTCAGAGAGACCATGACAATGACTGTTGTGATCAATAGAACTGCTACACCTGGTGTTTCTCTGAGGCTGGGTGAAGGCACATGTTGTGGTGCAGTGGAGGGAGGTCCATCCTCTGTATCTAACCCTGGTCTGTGACTGCCCGATACTGATATTTGGCAAGATGAAAAATGAAGTTGTTTCCATCCACCCACCTTGATGGTGAGTCAATGGAAACTATCCCCCGACCGCATCCATTGAATTGAATAAATATTTATCACCATAAATGAAAAGCAGTTATTATCTATTTACCTGTTTCACCCACAGAACTATCAACACTCGTGCTAGAGAATGTTATAAAATGCCAGGAAACCAGGAACTGCATTTCTCTTGGGAAATAGTTATGGGCTCCACGACACTGTAAATAAACAGCAAGTGATTTGATATGTCTGCGGAAACTGTACACCAGAGAACTTGTGCCCTTTTCTCATTTCTCCTATTTGTTATTGTGAGCCTATGTTAAAATTGGGCAAAATTGTGAGCCATGAACTCCCAACACACGAAGAAGAAATTAAAATATGATGTTTTTTTGGTTTAAAGGAAGCAAATTCACACTTGATTATAAAATGGGCTGAACTTGATAAGTGGAGCTGAAGTGAATTGTCATGCAGGATTGAGGAGTTAATTTTGACAAGAATAAACAAAAAGAATTTGTTGTGAAGCCACATCCATTTGTTTCACATTCTGTGTTTTAGCCTTTGGCTCTTGTAATTTCTCTATTTCTCTTGCTCTCTCTCGTGTAGGACTAGTGGTTCGAGAAGTTCATATCGAGGTCTCACGTCAGCAAGTGGAGGAACTGTTTGGTTTGGAAGACTACTGGTGCCAATGTGTAGCCTGGAGTGCCTCAGGCACAACAAAGAGCAGGAGAGCCTATGTTCGCATTGCTTGTGAGTATCTCTTAACTTTAATGTACTTGATGAACCTGGATTAGCCTCTGTGGTTTGGTTTTGCCTTCAGTATCTTTACAACACAACTTTAATTTTTTAAAAAAGGTATAAATCTGGATGAAGGTCAAAGTCAACATTCACAACAAAAACTACCTGTTTGGAGTTTAGCTTTTGCTACAATCAATTACACACTCAACACACACCAAAACTGCCCATCCTGGCTACACTAACCACTTGTGTAACACATACTCGTGTACACACACACTCTCTCATTCTCTCTCTCACACACATATACACATCCTCACAACCCTACACAAAGAGACATACACTTCTCGCACACAGGCACCACTTGTGCACACACATATACACACACTCTCTCACAACCTTTCACAAAACACACACACCAGTTTAAAACCAGATGTATTGTAACATAACAACAGAAACCAGGGAGTAATTTCAAAGCTGCATTGAATCTTGTCTGGGTTCAGATGACCAGTCTAGACATTCAGATTTGTTTTCGAGGCTTAGGAAGTCATCAAAGCTCTTTGATTGACACCCCTTCTCCCCGTAACAATATCAGTCTAACTCCCAGGTGCTGCCTGTTCTCTGCATGACTAACCCCAGCTCCTGCTGATACAGCACTCTGATGTGTGATCTGAAATAAACATCATTCAATAGGTATATTAATATGAAGGTCTGGCTCACGCACACCAACCTCTTAGCCAGACTTGTGTTTGACTGATATGTAGGAAAAAAGGCTGAATTTTATAAAGGAGGGTAATAGATGAAAGGATTTTCAGAGAGAACAAATCAATATGGAACAACAATTCCTAAAATATTTTTCTACAGCTTAAAACAACAGAAAATACTCAGTGTATAGATAAAACCTGGCTTTTTTGTGGATGGTTTTCCATTACTGTCCGTCATTGCCACCTGTCAATTGACTCAGTGATGCTATCGATCATCAGTCAGAGCCAGAATTTGAAGCTCTGTCGTGTAAACGAATGTTCGGCATTTGTAAGATGAGTTTTTCACAGTGACGTAATCGCAAGGACGAGTACTTGAGTAAGAGGATAAAGAAGGTCACAGAGCATTTTTGATCTAAGCTGCTGCTTCTCTCGCCCCAATTCCTGCTGCTCGTTCCTTTCAAAAGGAAATGCTTGAAGCAGATATTATTGATGCTTGTTCATGGTGTTTTTTTCATGGCTCAGCCAAGAAGCCCAGCGAGGAGCCAATGTTATGACTGCAGCTGAAAGAATCCATTGTCTTTTTATGAAACTTTTTTTATTTTGAGCAAAACATGTGGAGGGCGGCATGGATTGTAAATCCAAATAGCACAGAGAGACCAATAAAGCGTTGTGAATCCTAACACAGCAACCAGCCTGAATGTGCACAGCATAGATGTCATTGAGAGGTAATAAACTTGGGGCAGATTAAATTTAACCACTGGGTCTGTAGCTAGTCATTTGGAGAAGGATAAACGTAATGGAATATGATCATACCAACTGAGTGACATTGCAAGTAAAGGTGGATGAAGCTCAGTGGTTTCTGAGAAGACCGTCCCCCCCCCCCCACCCCTCCCACCATGATTTTAATTTAAGTTTCATTACTTTTGTTGCAGACTTGAGGAAGAATTTTGAACAGGAACCACTTGGAACAGACGTCTCTCTGGAGCACGAGGTGCTGCTGCAATGCCGCCCACCAGAGGGGATCCCACCTGCAGAGGTACATTCTTCCCCCCCACCCCAACCCCCTCTCCACCCCATGTGTAAAGTTTGCACTCTTACCTGCACAGGTATACACACTGCACCGACCGCTGATGTTAAAGTTCCCACTCATTTGTGTAGGTTATAGGATTCACAAACCTTTATTCCCGCTCTCACCTGTACACCCACCTCAGACAAGTGTAAAATTCCCACTCTCATCCGGACAGTCGACTTGTGTTTACATTTCGCTGCTAGGGTTCTCCTGTGACAGCTACTGGAAGATGTCTAAGATGATTCTCCCTCTGTCTGTTGTTTTACCTTCTCAATTTGCAGAAACTCCCAGTGGTCAGTTATTACCTCACCCGCACACGCACGCCCACACAGTCAGGCACATACATGTGAGGAACCTCAGATACAAAACTGTGTGTCAGTGCCGTGTCACTCCACCTCATTACATTCTCCTTTAAAACCCTTTAATATGTTTTTTGAATCTGGGGGCGAAAGCATGGTAGTCTTGCAACAGTGAATTCAAACATGGTGTCAGATGATAAAGATATGGATTGTGCACCAGTCTTATAAAGGTCTTGAAATCTAACTTTTGAAAATTCCCGTTGAAGATTACAAAGGACTATTGGGACACTTAATCTCTCTTTCCATTTCAGAGCAGAGATGTAATAGCTGTGAGGTTCAGAAGGATTTTTTTCTTTTAAAAAGCCTGAAGGGATTTTTAACTCTTTGTAAGACATTCTCAGCAGAGCTGCTAACATGAACCTGTTGACTGCTCATTCACTGCAACCTGAAGTATATTAGAGCTTTGGTGCTAGGATTGATCTCCACTTGAACATGCCGGAGGATGCAATCTGAATCAATGGTTTTCGCACGCTCAGTGGTTTCCAATTCAGCACTTTATATTTATGGTCAGAGGGCATTTTCTGATCTCTGGGGTGATTCCGCACAGACCAGCTCTGACTTGAACCACATTATTGCCCCGGGTTCTGTTTCTCTAACTGCAGGCTCGAGACTCATCCCCCAGCCGCAGGTGGAACGTGCCTGCCAGCACACCTGGCGGCAGCATGAGAGCATGTTTAACCTTCTGTCCCAGGCTCTCTCGACCCCAGTTTCTGAGTTCCCCATGTCCCAGTGGTTACCATGCTGAAGCAGTGTTAAAAACATAACCGCACAATCCAGTGTAAAAGTTGGTTGCGGTTGTCAGTTGGTTAATGCTGAAGTCGTTTTGTTATATTTAGAGGATATAAATATATTCATGAAGATGGAACGTGCATACCAGATTTTATAATAAATTATATAGCAGCATTTCACAGTCGTTTTGCTCCTGTTTTATAGTGTTTTTTTATTGCGAAGGTTGGTGTGATACAGATGCATCCAGTAAAATGACTATGATCTCTCTCTCTTTTTTCCACGTCATCTGGTGGCAGAATTTTGCTGCTGCCAGATTAAAAAGTGCCAAATGGTGTTTGAAATGGGAAGGGAGTGAACAGTCTTTGTTCTCTGATAGTTAACTGGATGGCTCTGACAAATTAGTCAGCCTCAGCAGACCCATCAGGGCTTTGATGAATGTCTCTGATTCAGCCCTGCAAGAAATCGTTACTGAAATATAACATTTACACTGTTTTTTGTGGTTTGTTTTGACATCTAACAACATACTTAGCCTTCCCACCTTCTTCAATTACCAGTGATGTTGTGTTCTATAGGTGGGGGCATGAGTTGGCCAGTGTAAGTGAAGTGCCTTTAAATGATTTTGCTGAGCCATTTTGTTTCTTGATTTGGTCACAATAAATGATGTAGTCTGAAGTTCTCTACGCTCACTCTGGCACAAAGTATGGATGAGAGGAATAGCACCGAGTGTGTGGAGGGATTCAGCCAGCTGTAATATCCCAGTGTTCGGATTTTCTTTAATGAGAAGCTGATGTCTCTTACTGATGGAAACTGGTAACTGTTGCTATCAGCTGACCACCACGCACAAGTTTACCAGGAAAGGAAGGAAATCACAGGCCTGAAATTTCACTTAGCCTGTGTGACCATCTTCTCTTCAAATTGAACATTTTATTTCCACAAAATAGTAGAAATTCCTAACCTCCATTCCTAATTTGGAATCCGAGTGTTGTTTATAAAATGTGGAAAATCGGCTGCCAAATTAAGACTGAATTGTCAAGATTTTTCCAGAATTCCACCCAATCTTAAATGCATGTCTTAAAGACATGCACTGCCCTCACCAACCTGTCAGTATATTGCCATCAATGGTGGCATTGTGCAGTCCTGTTATTACTCAGACTGTTTGCGAGTACGTTGGAAATCAAAGGAAAACAAAGGAGAAATTGGGTTAGATGGGGATGATAGCTAGTGGCAATGATTTACAATTCAGCAACGTGACCGAGTGCTTTTGTTGACACCATAAACCGTAAGATTGAGGCTTGTCGATAAAGCCATGGTCCTGGATTACCTGTGTAAAGGTGCTATTAGAACTTGCTCTTTGTAGGCTGCTAATATTGAAGGAGGTCGTCCCATCTGCTTGTTTAGGTGGATGTTAAAGATCCCATAAAACTATTTGAAAAGCGAACAGAGTTTCTCCCAGTGTCTTAGATAACAATCTCTCCCCCACCTCCCCCCAACCTAAAATTTGGTGTCACTCACTTCATGGGACATTGCTCTCTGCAAATTGGCTGAAAAATTTGCCTACGAATATAAAGTCACTACGTTTCATAGCCTACTATATGAAGTGCTTTGAGATGTCCCATCCCCCCCTTCCCTGTCATGAAAGGCACTATATATCAAATGCAAAAATTATTCATTATTCCTTCCTCTTTTGCTGCAGTTGAAATTCAATTCTTCCATGCCTTCCAGTGTGTGTTGTATACGTCTGCAATGACAAGCATAAAAGACCACCTCATTCTTCAGAGGTCTATGACAATGGGGTCATGGCTTCTCCCACGTTCCTAGCAGCTTTTGGGTTAGCAAATTCTAGTTTGTTTATTCAGGCCCATCTTTGTTTCTCCTATTAATTCCCCCTCCAATGCTAGAAGTAGCTGTTAAATCTACATCTCTGTGAATACATTGACATAAATATTAAACCATATTCTAGGCATTATTATCCAGTTCATCCTTGGTGCGCTTTGAAATAACCATTTGATTTTTTTTAGATTTCAGACTGTATTGTAAAGGCGAAGGGGGCTTTGTTGCTGTACTTTTGGAGTAGAGTACTAGGATAGAGAGGGCTGGGGAATTGTATTGGAGAAAATTGAGCATTACATGGCATGAATTAGAGAGGCAAGAGGTTACTTAGCAATTCACAAAAGCCAGTAGTCTCACAGGACTATAAGTCTAGAAGGAGATCAGACTGCCACCAGCAGTTTTATTATAGTATCAATAAGAATAGAATTACCTACTTCGGAGCAGTGGGATTGAGCAACATGATTGAAATTAGGACATGAAGAAGCAGGTGACTCGCTCACCCTTCAGGCTCATGAGTTACATTTTCTCAATGTCATTCGGTTAATTATTTATTGTTTCCCATTGGCAATTTTATACATAACTGCACCACCCAGCTTGCTTAAGTCATTTGCATATTTGATGCAGTCACCAGGGAACACAATGAGACTGCGGGTTTCAAACTCTGTCTCTTACTCTTGAGTGTTCAAGAGTAATCAGATTCATCTTGCATAAGTGCAATATGTCAGTAACCTGGAGTCTTTGAGTTCTGGATCCTCACAACGGATGTTATATTCGGTCTCTGAACCAGTGTTTATATATTTTGATCAGACTTTTTTCTGAGCAACATTCTTCCCTTTTCTGACTTTTTTGTATACTGTATGCATGTAAGTGTTAAACATGCCAAGACTGGGTTTCCATTTAAAATTTACACGCTTCTCTTGTTATTTCTCAACTATATGTGCACAGGACCCAAAATGTTCACTTGATGTTGATCACATTTGTAATTTCCTGGGTGTCTGTCACTTGGCTGTTCCCTTCTACAGTATTTCACTTCCCAGCCTTAAGTAAAACCAGAGCAATACTTTAGCATGCACCAGGACAGCAGAATAAGAGGACATGGGTTTAGAATTGCAAAGAGTATTTCATGATAATTAATGACTGGAGCAGATTGCCACAAAGAGTGGTTGAGACCAGGACACTGGCCTTGTTTAAAATAACTTGATACTGTGATGGGAAGATAGTAGGGTGGATATAGAAATGATGAGATCAAAAGGGCCAAAGGGTCTTCTTCATCCAAACCAATTGTGATTTTTTTTTCTGTTTCTGTATCCTGATCTCTTTCTCTCCCTCTCTCTCTCTTCCCTTTGCTTCTCTCCTGTATTTCTTTCTCTTGGCTTCCCACTATCCCTGACGACTACCCTATCACTCATAATGTGTGTCACATAAAAAACGTAATAGGCAATGAAATTCTCTTAAGAATTTGCTTGATGTGTCTTTTAGAAGAATCTAGCTGATCATTTTAGTTGTCCGTTACCACAGTACAACTCACTATGTGAATCTCTGAACAGAGAAATGTACAGCTCAACATTAAGCAGTTTCTAGCTACCCAGTTTAACATAGTTAATGAATGCACAGGTAATCCCTCACAATAAGGGCCTTTGATATGCCACTGTCTCTGGTTTAACAGGCATTGTTTGTTCCTCCTTTTCTATTTGAGGAGTCATAAGAAGTTTATGCCTCTAACCTCTGAAACTCGCTGCCTCTAACCTCCACCTCATCCCTTCCATCTATCCTGTAATCCCCTTCCCCTTTCTCTCTCACATGGTGTCCAACCCCACCACTGTGAAACACTCAAACATTATCCTACATCAAAGGCACTACACAAATGAAAGTTGTTGTTGTCTACTTTTCCAAACAGCACTTGCAGTAATTGTTTAGGTGCCTCCAGAGAGACGTAAGAGACACGTAAAATGTAGGTTAAAACATCAAGATGCAAAAGAGATAATTTCTGAAGAACCAAAGCTTTTTATGTGTGAAAAAAAGTGCGTGACATTGCAGACGTAGACAATTTATTATAATATATTTTAATAACAAGTCAACATCGCAGGAAATTAAGAAAAGAACTCTCGAGGTCGGGCTGATTAATCACTGAACACTTGTACCTGTATATGGGGAAAAAAGGAACAAATTAATTAGAAATGCATTAAAACTATGATAATAAAATTTGCTTTCTGAGCCAGTTTGCTTAGCTGTGGATGAAATGATTCAGTGTCCTTCACAGATTAAATTGCATGCTTCATTGGGTCTGGATCTGACAACTGAGGACTAGGCAGCCAGCAGCTAATATCATTTGATACAGATGTATTTTGAATTGATACCTTTATAATTATTGATTATATAATTTGGGCCAGAAAAGGGGAAGAGAATTGAGATAAATTTCTTACGTGAGAATAGCTATTTGTCAAGTCTTAACCAGATTGTGATGAAGTACCGTCTCAGAGCGTGCATGGCTAGAGCATCCATCTGCAGTGAACTGTTAAAGGTTCGGGGTAACGTAAACTCTCTTCACAAAAGGAAAAGCAAACAAAACATTATTGAGTGAGTGCTAAGTACTCTCCAGCTTGCAATTCATTCTTTTACTTTGACTTGTTTCCGCTCCTTAAACAGTGGCACAAAAGCCATCAAATATTCCTTTACCTCAGAGTCCCCAATTGATGAAGTCCTTCTGCCCAGCAACCTGTGGCGATTAGTCTCACTAATGGGAAAGAAGTGCACTAATTATGCAAATCTTTCTCTTGATACCTGGAGGCTTTCATGACTCAACCCAACCATATCTGTCCTTGAATTCTAACTTTCTTCATTTTATTAATTCACAAGTTATTACATTAGTTTTAAGATTTCAAAGATTTTTTTTGCTGGCCAAGAATAATTGAAACACATTGGCATCTTGAGGGATACTCTAGTTTAATGATACTCTCTTTCTTCTCTCCACCACAACTCCACCCTTTCCCCCCAATCACCCATTTCATTTAGGTGGAATGGCTGAAGAATGAAGATGTTATCAACCCAGTTCAAGACTCCAACTTCCTCATCACCATTGACCATAACCTGATCATCAAACAAGCTCGTCTGTCAGACACAGCGAACTACACGTGTGTGGCTAAGAATATTGTTGCCAAGCGGAGGAGTACCACTGCCACAGTGCTTGTATACGGTAAGAAGCAGGTCTAGAGTTTACAGTATCCAGAAAATACAGGACCAATTTACATTATAGCCTGTCAGTTACTGACTACAGTATAGCTGGATTTGTAACGATCAGTTTACACTATAGGTGAACGTCCAGTGACACAGCAACATGTGCCATAAATGTTATCTGCCAGTGTACCTCGGGTTTTTGGGGGAAAAGTTCCACTGACACATCAGTGCAGCAACTTGGTCCTTTAACAGATCCAGGTATAACATGGGTACAGCCTGGTGTTGTGCGATGAGCTGTTCTGATGACTAATACTCTAAATAGGAAAAGTATAATTGCTTGTACATCAGCAGCTTTCCTACTGCTAGCCCTTAAAGCAATAACAACTCGATTTAATAATCTATAATTTACTTGTTGAAGGTTTTGGAAGTAGCAGAATCCCAATTAATAGGGCTCCACTTGACGTGTTAGTCAACACCTAGCTTTGATTAGCAAGTTAAAATTCCAGTTTCAGCAGCAATGTTGCATATTCTGCATCATTCTGGGCATTGGTTGTTTTTTCCCTGACTGTTGACTGAAAAAGAAGGGAAAAAAACATAACAAATGTGTGTGGTCTGTTCAGTATACAGCAGTACATTAATGGAATTTAGAAAGAATTAATATGCTGTTGATAAGATCTAAGATGAATGATGCAGAATAATCTTCAGCCTTCGGAGCTGCCAATGGGTTACAATAAAAAGAGGGGCATTGTTATTGTGATCTCAGGATTTACTGATGCAAACAACAAAATAGTTAACATGCCTCATCAATTGCATTGTGCATATTCAGTATGACATGTTTTAGGGTTAATCTGATAATACTTGGCAGGCTTGAGGTAAGCTCACGTAAATGCCTGAAGATTGGCTGCCAATGATTGATAACAAAGTCAGAAAATACGAAAGCATAGAACAAGAAAAGGTTGACCAGCCCAGCTGTCAAACCCACTTCTTCTATAGACTGTGGAAAAAGACACTATTGTTGACTACTCCCACCTGCACTGTCTCATGGCAGAAGCTCCGTATGATTGCAACCTGATTCCCAAATGTAACGAGCATCAGCACCATAATATTTATCCATGCCCATATCTCCACAGTTCAAACCTGGCCTCTCTTCCTCCAAAGACAAGTCTTTCTCATCATCAACAGCTCCCAGCAGAACAGACAACATTAGGTCCTATGGAGCATTTGTCCATCTCAGTTTTTACTTGTCCTTATACTCTTCAGTAACATTTCCAAGCAGAAGCTTAATTTGTTTCAAAGGGAGTTAACCAACAGGAAAGTTGGAGGCAATTGGTTTGGCGTTTGTTATGAATCTTGTAATTCTGGGAGAAGATGGAAGAAGCAATTCAAAAGACGGAAATTAAGAAATTTCCAGATTAATACTGATTTCAGGGACACAAAATTCTCCATATGCATTTCTGTCTAAAAATAACGCATAGCACATTTCAGGGTATGTTCAGGTTCACTCACAATCCAACAAGTGATACTAGATTTCAGCAGGCAAAGTGCAGAAAAAAACCTCAAACAATATTTTCTTCAGATTTGTAAAGGGTGGATTCTGGACTGGAATAGGATATGTTTATCAGGTTCAAATCCTCTTGTATGGCTTTTGACTGGTAGAACCTCAGCACTGCGACAGTCATCATTTTTATTGACCGGCTGTCCAATTTAGGCAGGTCAATCCCCTCAATAGAGTGTAATTGAAAGGTCAGTTGTGGGATAGTTGGACATACAGTTTAGACAAGCTCTACTCGGTTGGACTGAAATGAAGGGAATGCAGTACAAAGTATGATACTGCACAGCTCTCTTTTCCAGGTGCTAGTCTGGATGATTTGGTAGCATGTGTACAACTGAGTCAGAAGGCTGTGAATTCAATTTCCACATTGGGGCTTTAAAATCACAGTCTAAGCTGATATTCCAATGCAGTCCAGGGTGTGTAACTTCATTGGTGGAGGTGCTGTCTTTCAGATGAGATGTTAAATTGAGGTCTTATCTGCCTGTTTAGGTGGACTTTAATGATCATGGTATTATTCAGAAAGAGAAGGGAGTTTCTCCTGGTTTCCTGGCCACCAATTTCCCAAATAAAATCTATCATGGCTCTTTGTGGGACATTGCAGCGTGCAGATTTGTTGTTGTGTTTCCCTACAAAACACAAATTCAGTACACTTTTCAGTGTATCCTGTGAAGCAGATTTTGAGATGTCCTCCTGATGTGAAGATTGCTGTATCAAATGCAAAGATTTTTATTTATATACATTTCAACCAAAGAAATCCTGTTCTGATTTTCCGCACAGTAAATGGTGGATGGTCCACCTGGACAGAATGGACTACATGTAGCAATCGCTGTGGCCGAGGCTGGCAGAAGCGTACGAGAACATGTACCAACCCAGCCCCACTCAATAGCGGGGCCTTCTGTGACGGACAAACTTCCCAGAGGATTTCCTGCAGCACTATGTGCCCAGGTGAGTTTGATGTGCAGCCGGTGTAAGCAATGCTGAAAATCCAAAAAGAGGTGGCTCTGGTGTGTGCGTGTATGTTGGATTTGTTCATATTATACACAAGAACTTCCAAATATTTCAACCGTATTGTTTATTATTGAATTTACTCTCCATCCGCTGTGAGATATGAGGTCTGTTCCCTAAATGGCTGTATAAACTGAATAGTTCTATGCATACTATATGTATATAATACATATAACATTTTTGTGGGTAGACTGCAGGATATTTTTGGGAAGATTTCAGATGCTTCTGCAGGGGGAAAACATTTGCTCAGCAGTTTCCACATATCATCCATCATGACAATGTTACCTACTCCACTGGAGATTATAAATCAATGGAGAATTAAAATATCCAACCAGAATTCAGTTGTATTTACAATGATATCCACCAAAAATGACTCACTTTACTTTAACAAATTGCCTCTTTATTCCTACCCTTCCCCAACCCCACTTCACTGACAAACTCCAGAAAAAAACACAATGGAAGGCTTAAAATATCTCTCAAAAATTTATCAAACATATTCTACTTGACTGAAAGCTCCAAAGGAAGATTGAGATCAGATTAAAGTTGATCCAGATACATACTATTTAAATCTAATTCCCATTTGCCAGGCATTGAGCGGAGAATCTCACTCCAGGATTCAAGTCTCTGATTCTTTATACAGGGCAGCTCTATTATAACACACTTCTTTATAGCTATTCTTTATAGCACAAATTGAGTTACATCTCTATTGCAATGCTGGAATTTTGTTTTCCACAATCTATTTGAGGAGGACGGGTTTGCAGGGTTATGGGGAAAGGGCTGGGGAGTGGGATTGACATTAATTGCTCTATTCAAAGAGCCGCACAAACTCGATGGGCCGAATGGCCTCTTTTTGTGCTGTACGATTCTAAGATTCTATGAATCATGTTTGCCACTCGATCCTGCAGTTCCAACGTACTGACATTCAGTCACTGCATAGGAGAATTTGTAACTTTAGCAATTATTCTGATCAGTGTTAGTTAGCAGGAAAGAAGTGCAGCTGCTAAGAAGGCACATTTGGAGGTTAGTATCCTGTATATTGACAGTTTGGCTTCCAGTGACAGCACTGTGGGGTAATTGAAGTAGACCTGCTGATTCCAGAGGCTCCAGTCATTGAGGGAGATCTAACAGCCAGAATTAAAAATGGTGAAGACAACATGCAAGCAACGAGTTTACACATGCACGTTGTCAATGACACTGAGGCATCTGTCCTTAAGTTTAACTGGGTTGGGGGAAGAGTTTCTGCAACTGGGTCAACCCGGACTGTTTACAGGATGTTTTATATAAAATGGACCTGTAAATATTGTGCTGACACATGATCATTGGAAACAGATGACCTCTGCCTCAATTTTTTTAGATCTACCTCAAACATCAGTGCCTCTGTTCTGTAAATAAACAGCTTGCTTAGCTTGTTCGTGATAAGATGGTGTGTAAAAGTTACTAATTGCCTTTTCCGCTCACCACACAACATGGCAAATTACTGCCTTATGGCAGAGCAAGTAGACCGGTCAAGGCAAAGAGTTAATAGGCCATTCAAGCATGCATTGTGCTGGAATATGCCTTTTGATCTGTGCTCCTGGCAGTGCAACTGAAGTAAGGGGAATGTTGCAGAGTGAGTGAGCGTGTGGCGTCTTGAATCAGAGCATCAGGTGTGAAGCCCCAGAAATAGTGATTTAATTAAAGCAGGGCTGGCTGGCTGTGATGTGACCCCAAATCATTTTTATTTTATTTCTTATTTTCTTTTTCCTGGTAAAATGCAGTTGATGGTGGCTGGACAGAGTGGAGCAAATGGTCGGCTTGCAGCACAGAGTGCACCCACTGGAGAAGCCGCAAGTGCGCGGCGCCGTCCCCCAGAAACGGAGGCAGAGACTGCTCCGGTCTAGTGCTGGTGTCCAAAAACTGCACAGATGGGCTCTGTATGCAGAGTAAGTAGCAAAGTAGCACAGATTGCCATTGGATGAATTTCTCTGCAGGGGTGTGCTCTAGCAGCAGGTAAAAGCTGGGCACATCACACAGATGCTGTGCTTGCAATGTGCTACATCTGTGTGGTACCAGCAGCAGGTGAAGTCAACAATGTTGATTTAAATATGCAATCTACACTATCTGCGGAGCTTCAATCCTGCCGTTTGACACTAAATGCTGTTGATAAGCAGGAGCACGAAGTTACTTAAATTTGCCCTGATTTACAGTGGTGGAGGTAAGGGGCCCGTCAAAAAAGACAGACCAAATCCCAAATGAAGAAGAATGCACTGTTTGTAAAGGTTTCCATTCTGCAACCCTCGATTCTCTCCCTATGTTTATTTAATCGATCCATGCCGTCTCCCTTCCAGTGCCGTTTCTCCTCAGTTCAGAAGGTGAGATGTTCGCTTTCATGGAGATCTTCCCATATGCTTTTGTAACAACTGCTCCAACAAAGGAGGTGCTTGTGACCCATGCAGTAAGTGGCTATTATTCCTCCCTCGTTCTACAGCTCCAAGCCCTGTGGTCAAGCCACAACCTTCTCCTCAGGCTGGACCTTGTCTTTGTACCAGCTGAGATTTGAAGCATTCCATCATGGTGACTGCTGGGCAGACCTTTGATCCTTCCATTCCTCAGGAATTCTTTCACAGTTTTACAAAGATTTGTTCTATAGTTAATCTTTGTACAGAATTCAGTTGTTTATAATGGATTTTGCATGTGGCTCTTCCATGCTTCTCATGACCAAATAGAATGTGACAATCTCTATCAAGGCTCACATGTGATCAATGGCCAATTGCCCAAAGTGTCAGTTTGTTCTGTTTGCTCTATTAACAAATAATGAAAAGATGGCTGGTGTTAGTGATTACTGAGTGAGAGATTCCTCTTGTATTTGGGTGTCTGATACTGAGTTTGAAATGAGCATCAATGACTCAGTTGGCGCTCGTTTGGCATGGTACTGTGGATCATACACAAGGAAGGTCTCTGGTTCATGTGCTGAGTTAGCTGAGCTCAGCTGGTGCAGCAGCAAAAAAACTGCAATGATTCTCAGTGTCTCGTTTGGAGAAAGGAAACATCAGTCATAATTCTTGTCCTTGCTAGCTATTCAATGACCCCGGCAGGAAAGGAAGTATGTGTGTGTGAGTGAAAGTCTACTGAAGATGGGATAGTATTATGATTATTGACTGATTGTCCCTTAGTTCATTTAGCTTGCTGTACACTTATATGAGATATTGGAATATTTTCTAGTGCTTGTACAACACACTTTGTGAGTTACTGCCTTGAGAAGAAAGGTAATAAGGGTACAATTGGAGGGTGGGGAGAGGTGGACCTCATAATCTGAGGCCTTTTAAAACATCCTCTCAATATGAAAGGGACAATATCAAAGATCATTATTATTAAAATTGTATTATACTTTGGAGTTGGTGTTCTCATCAAGGTAAGAGATACTGTTGCTGGGAAATGGGCCATTGCTCCACTGATGCCAAGCCCTGTCTGTGTAGAGAATTCCCATGTCCTGTGTTTGCCTACAACATCACTGCATTTTACAGTGGTTCTTGGAAAGCACTTAGAGGTTCCTCCCAAAGTGGAAAGTGCTATATCAATGGCAAGGATTATTATTATTTATAAGAAGGCACATATCCTGTCCCACCCAGACTTTCAGACTATATACCCTCACTCTTTGGAACTTGATCCTGGAGTCTCTTTGCTTGCCCCTTCCCTTGCTTCCTTCAAGGTCCACATCAAGATTGCTTCAGAAGATGACTCCCAGGTGACATTCCGTTTCACACACTAGCTATTCCTGCAGTGTGTTTGAGGGAGGCTACTTATTCACTATCAAAATAATGCTAAATTAGGAGCAGTTCTGTATTTATAATAATAATAATAATCCTTGCATTTGATATAGCGCTCTTCACGTCGGGAGGACGTCCCAAAGCGCTTCACAGAACACACTGTAAAGTGAATTGACTGTATATTTGTGGGCGAACGCGCACAGCAATGTCCCACAAACAGTCGTAGATTGAAAATGACCAATTTAATTATTGTTTTTGTTTTTTTGGAGGGATTATTATTAGGCGTGTGGAGTAAGGAAACTTGCCCAAGGTTTCGCCCTGACCTGCCTGGAATTGAACTCAGGTCTCTCACTTGCAAAGCGAGTGCTCTAACCACTGAGCTACAGGACTCCATTTCATTTCACAATGGAGTCCACAATAGCAGGATGGGAGACTACAGTACTGCACTGTTCAAAATGTATATTGCTTAGAAAAGGCTTGTTTCATTGACCCTGGATAATGAAACAAGTCAGAAGAACTGCAGTTCAGTGTTGCGTGAAGTAAACTGACATGTCCGAAGGCTGACTTCCAAAAATATGAATAATTTTCTAGAAATGATGCGTCCTGAACTTGACCTTACATATTAATTGGAACTTCACAGCCAAGCTTCTTCTGTATTAAATGAGTATTTTAAAAGGCTAGACTGGCACTCTTGTCGGGTCAAATCAGCTTTTGTCTTCAGTACCAGCAAATAATATGCCCTCAGGACACATTTGCAACAATTTTCCAACCAAATTCTTTGTGTAATGCATCTGGACCTTGCAGAGGACGTTCAATGAATGTAACAGGCTCAGCTGGGCCTGGAGTTCAGTGTCAGCTCCTGGTACTGCCTGTCCCATTTCTGGCTGGCCTTACAGCTGTTCCAGCACAAGGAGAGCTGGGCCCTCACAGCATTCATACCACATAATACATCCTAATGGTCCATTTCAATGTTCAGCTTCAGCTAAAGGCTTCCTTGTCTCGCTACTCTGTTTATAGCTCATTATTATTTTACAGCTTTTAGAGATAGACGTTTGGACACAAGCAATTAAAAGAACTTCTGCGGCAGTTAATTAGGGATAAAGAGTGGAGGGCTTTGGTCCATCTTATTTTCAGTTTACTACAACAACAATAAAAAATTGCCTTTTGCTTTGGGAGGACATGGCAAGGCGATGGAAGAAATACAACGGGGCCAATTTGTGATGTTTTGTACCCAGATTTCTTAATAATGACTCCCAATTTATAAACTCCTTCCAGTCGCTGGATGTACATTGCACTGACTTTTGGAGAACTAACATTTTTAATCTGTGCTGAGTTACACAGTGTCAGACAGGACAGCAGAAAGTACGTACACTGGAATTGGCCTCAGTTTCTCTGGGTTGGGGAAGGAGGAAAAGCAGCTGTTCCTCTGTAAAGTCCATCTGTTTGAACGTAGGGAGAAGAGAGAATCGAGGTTCTCTCCCTCATTGGTTCCCAAGCCTAACATATAGACTTGCGCAAAAAAAATGCCCAGAATGTTAGCAAGGAAACGGGACATTCAAACCAACTCATCCACGCCAGTGTTTATATGCTGAATTAGCAGGAATCCACTCTTACTAATTCACTCTGCCATGCCCAGGCACATGGATGAGATATTGACCAAAAAATTGCAGTTTTGACCGCTTACATTTTCTAAGTTGGCTGATCTAAATCAGGGATGCGATACAATTCAGTGTCCCTCAGCTAGGGAAGGGAAAAGTCAAAGAGGGTTCTCACTCTGCTCTAGACAGAAAGAACATCTAATGAAACAGGATTGGGCTTGTGCATAATTATCAGGAAGCAAAGGTATCATAGGGTGCTGTTGCTAATAGAACGGTACCCCCTGTACAAGTCAGTAACAATAGGAAAGGACAAGTGCAGAAAATGTAGTCTCCACTTGAAGCTCATATTGTTCCTTTTTTCCAATCTTAGATTCTTGGTACAAAGTTGCCAAAAGCTCATGGTCCTTGCAGCCGGCTTCCTCTCAGTGTTAGTTTCCTGTGCCAGATTCCCTGTCGTTATAACCTTGAAACTAGCAACAACCTTCTGCTTGATCTTAATGGGCCAATTGATCTCCTCCTCTGCTCTGATTCTACGATTCTATAGACCTGCACACTTTGTGGAATAAGAATACATCAGCAGTAACCAGGAAGGCTACAAATAGTGCTCATGAGCTGCTTGTACTTCTGTCATCACTTGGTCCACCATTGTGTCTGCTTTAATCTGAAAGCCTGTAGTTTTCTGTACTCTCTCTCATCTAAACCTCCACAAAGTAAAGGCAGAAGCATAAAACCTGCGCCCCTTTATTTTATATTTTGAAATTATAGTTATATTACCAGTATATCAGGCAGCAGGAATAAAATCTGAGTTCAGGTAAGAATAAAAGGAGTAATCATGTAAGAGTAAAGCCCTCCCAGCACAATTAAGAGCATTATCCCTCTAAATTGTTTTACATTCTTCCAACCATCTTCTCATTCCAAATAATGATATAAAAGTTTCGATGTTTGACTCAGTGTGTACGTGTGGATGTGTTTGGGGCAAGATTAAGTGGAGTGTATCCAATTTATTTTCCTTTGCAAGTTTTATTTCTGTGTACATTTAGCAACTACAGTTCATTTCATTTTCATTATCTTTCTCGTGCTGAGTTTATTTTCATTCTTTTTTAACAGATGAAAGGCTTTTAAATGAACCAACGAGTACTAGTAAGTTTCCATTTCATTATTTTTAATTCATTTTTGGATGTGAAAGTGGTGTACAATAATCATTTATTGTGAGACACTGGTTTATACAGCCATGGATCTTAGTGGTGAACGTATCTTGTCTAACCTAACCAACATGAGTCATGCATTCTTTCGGTTAGCTGGGTGTCTGACACATGCAGAAACTGATCACTATGGTTAAGAGTATCCACACCAGATACATTTACACGTGTGCATGCCACCCCTATGTGGAAATCACAGTGTCTGGAATGCAGCGCCGTTGTGTCCCTGGAGGGATGCAACAAGAACAATAACAACTTCCATTTATATAGCGCCCTTCATGCCGGATGGTGTCTCAGAGTGCTTAAATGCATCCTGCTTACTTAATTCTGGAAAGAAAGTATTAGGTGCAGGATGGTGAGAGACAAGGCTTGGGTTCCTCCAGGGGTTTAACAAACCAAGGACGTTACCTTAGAACCAAGGAGACCTTGCTTACTTATCTTATCCCTCTCCCGGGAGGATAAAAACAAGGTATTGATTTTTCATCCAACAAGTGCAGTATTGAGCTATCCCCATTTGGATGGCAGGTTCCAGGAACTCTCTGCAAGCCTCTTGGTGAACAACAGAACTCAGCACCCATATAAGAGGGTGAGAAGTTCTCACTCTTAACGCTTCACATCCCGTTGTTGTGCGGAATCATTTTGAAGTGAGACAACGAGATTTCATCCCCAGTTTGAGAAGCGACGATGTATTTGGATGACGCAATGTCAGAATTTTTAAGCAAGAAATGTCAAGCTCCACAACCCTGTCGTTTAACTTGCATTATAATTGGATGCATATTATAACATGGTTTGATTGTAAAACTCAGCTTGTGGAATGACTATTGTGCTCACTGATTATTGCACATGTTTAATAATTCATAGATTGTCATTTCTCGGGCTTAGTTTGTCAGCTAATATTTTCCAGGCTTTGACCCAGGTTTTGACCCACATTGCAGCTAATGTGAAGAATTTTTTTTTTTTTTTCAGCTATAGAGGCAACTGCCGACGTGGCTCTGTACGCAGGTCTAGTTGTGGCTGTGTTCATCTTCGTGATTATTTTGCTTGTGGTTGGCATCATCGTGTACAAGAGGAGTTGCCGGGACTTCGACACGGACATCACAGACTCCTCCGCAGCTCTGACTGGAGGTTTTCAGCCTGTGAACTTCAAGACTGCCAGGCATGGTAAGTGGACAACCATCTGGTCCATATTGTTATCTCCTTCATAAAACTACATCAGTAGCAATTGTGTTTTGGTCAGAAAATGACATTAGCCCTGCTTCCTGAGTAATCGAGAAGTCAGACATTTTTTAGTGCAGGCAGCTGGCTAGTCAATGCTTCGAGACAGGTATTTAGCTTTAGATCACTGCGAGTCCACAGGAAACAGCCATACACGTGAAGTAGAGAGTAATCAAGTGTCCAGAACAGGTGACCAGGAAAAGTGGTTGAGGTCAGGACACTGGGCTTATTTAAAAAGCAGCTCGATGCTGCCATGAGGGAATGGTAGGGTGGGTGTTCTGGGAGTATGAGATAAGATGGAATGAAGGGCCTTATTTATCCATACCAATCTTGTGAAATATTAGTTTACATTTGCTTCTACATCTTGCCTGCAACTGTTTTCCAGCAAACGATCTGTAGATCTCTGGTGAACTCTTCGTGGCCTTCAACGTGACCTGTATATAACAGGGTTTCTGTAGAGGGAGTTTGTCTTGCGCACTGTTTTGTTCACTGTGCTATCAGCGGTAAATCTCAAAGAGCAGTTCACTTCTTCAGACAAGCAGTAACATGATCCTTTATTCGATGAAGAACTGGCAGGAATTATGTACTGCAAGCCGCAGAGAACGTGATTTTTCAAACGGAGCAGCAGTTTGTGTGTGTAAAAGACATTCTTTATGAAACTCTGGTTTGGAAAGGATTTTTTTTTTCCCCCAGCAACACAGACATTGGTAGTAGTAATTTCTCTCATGTCTGTTTTTCTACTAAATTATTAAAGTTTGACGTGTGCATGAATTCTATAATGTGTTTTCTTGCTGGTTAATGAGAATGGGAGAAACTTGCAGCCCTTTGAATACTGCAGCTGGTATTGCTGGTTGGAAGGTAATGCAGTACCATTTAGTTCTTTTGATGAGATGCCAATACAATGCGAGGCCACAATGACAGCTAAAGTTACAGTCTTTTATTGCAATTGATTTATTTCAATTACAAGGCTGGCAGAGAAGAACATATTCTGTGATGATTCAATTAATACAAATGTAAGGCTGATGTCCTGTTGAAAAATTTGCTGTAACAATTCATATATGGGAATGTGCCACAAACATTAATCAGAAGAACATCAACTTAAAATAGAAGAGCTACTTTTCCTTATAATTTTTGTCATGGAGCGCAAATTAATTTGTACAAATTGGCTGCCATATTTGCCTGCAAAACGCACACTGATCTATACAGTTTTACCCCTGAAATGCTTTGGGATATGAAAGGTGCTATAACAAATGTAAGGAGCACCTCCAGTTAGGCTCAGTAACTTCCATCTGATATTGGTACAAAAATATTTTAACAAAAATGGTAACACTAATTGTTTTTTCTCGGTCGTTTTGATCTGTAAAAGAGCTGTAGAAACAGTTTCTGATGGTGTATAAATTCAGTGCAGTAAAGGTCTGTTTCTCTTTTGCTTTTGAGTGTTTTGACCTTAGCTGCAAAGCAAGTAAGTTGTGAGGCCCTGACTGGATGGGAGATCAGATGGGAAGTCTGCTCTGAGCTGTCCTCAACATAACATCTGATGGTTGGGCAGGTGGCTTGAGAGCAGGGCAATCACCCTCTGCTTTCCCTTACCCTGATACGAGGAATAAGCTTTGGATGTTCAGTGTCTGATCACTCCTGTGAAAAATGGCCACTTGGTTGAGGTACCAGAAGTGGTAAAACCATACTCAGCAAAACCCCAAATCTTTGGGTGAGGAGGGGAGAAAATGACAGAGGGAAAAACTAAAAGGGTTAATATTGGTGAAGCTTCTGCTATATAAGTGACAGTATCCTGGATTTCTGTGTGGCACACACATAGTTAATCTGCTACCATAAGTCTCCTGAAGTCAACAGCAGCTTTTAAAAGCCTCATCACTTCTGCGTGATGTTTAATATCTTCTGTTATGTTTGTCTGGATTGAATTGTGGAATGAATGATTCAAAAGGCTTCAGGAGACACAAGATTTACAAAATGTTTTACTTTTAGCCGCAATTCATAAATATCCAAATACAGGGCTAGAATTTACTGTCCAGTTAGCTGGATGTTTATCAGAATTCAAATGTGTGCCACACATGTATTTCTCCCAGGGAGCAAAGAAGAGGATGGCATTGGTTGCTTTTATGTACCAGACATACACACACAAACCCACAAGATAAAATGAAACCTATCAATGTTGTGATTTGGTTTGAAAACCTGCTCCACTGTACTTCCAGGCCCATTTGTCTTGTAAATGCAACTGACACCTTATTCCCCACCTTCTTCACTAGGAATCTGTTAAGTGGTACATTCATAGGAGGCATTACTTCCTCCAGAGAAGCAGTTAGTCACCTCTGCATAATTGTTCCAATATTGACAAGCCTAATGGTTGCTGTCTGCAAAGTAGCTGCAAGACAAAGATTTAGTGCAACGGTGAGAAAAAGTGTAGCTTGTTTCTACACGGGAAGGGAGTGTGAAATATGTACTGACTGTAATTAATGTAGGCCAGCCAATCTATGCCAGCACTGCAACAAAGAATTGCTGTGACACTCCAATAGATTGGCAGAGACAAATATTCCTCACTCTGTGATACCTGCGCTGACTCTCTTTTTGGATTGCAACCAAGTTTCTATATTTTCAAACTGTGGTTGGTGGGGGGAGGTGCAGAGAAAGCAGTTTCACCATGGTATCCAAGTACCTGAGTTTTTTTAAGCATAAAAGTGAATGATTTGAACCCTATTTTATATCGATGAAAAAGGCTGTTTTTTTGGTCTTTGAATTGGCCGTATCCCATGCATAACCAAACCTCACTTCTACTTACGTGAGATTTTCCCTTTACAGATCATCCTCAGTTGCTCAACTCCTCTATGCAACCGGACCTGACAGCCAGCGCTGGCTCTTATCGAGGACCCATGTACACCCTTCAGGACACAGCTGACAAGATACCAATGACAAACTCTCCACTACTTGACCCACTGCCAAGCCTGAAGATTAAAGTATATAATTCTTCCACAACCACTGCTGGACTGACAGATGGAATAGATCATCCTGGGAAGGCACCATTGGGTACTTACCCAGGGGGAAACAGCAGGGACAATAATGTTATGAACACGAGGAACAAAACACTTAGCTCTCAGCATCTGAACACTCTGCCAAGGGAGCCCGGTAACAGTGCGATTGGGACCTTCGGTTGTTTGGGCGGTCGCCTTACGGTGCTCAATTCAGGTTTGTGCTTTGTGTGCATGTGTAACTGTGCTCCAGTAATGAGTTTCACATTCGAGCTGTGGTGCAGCATGTTGGGGAATGAGTGGGAGCAGTGTGCAGAGATAATTGGAAGTGATTTACAAGACAGTAATCTTATCAGAAGATTCAAGGGTGAAAATCGAGTGGTTTCTCGCTGTTATCTGAGAGATTAGATTCAGTCAGATATTGGTGCAGTACGCCTAGCATTGGTTTCAAATATGTACTGTCAATTTTGTGGGTTGCCTTCATTTGTTCTTGGGTCTGTTTTTATGTTAACAGAACTGTAGGGTGAACACCAGCAGTTTTGATACCCTGTGCAAACTTGTGTTTTTGATGGGTGATGACATTCATATTTAAGGTGTTTTTCATTGGATTAACGTTGCAGTGTCTCCATTAGCACAACTTCTAAGTATTTTTCAAAGTTCAGAATGTACTGCTGGAAGCTTAACAGTTGACATTGGTACCAGTGGCTCTGTTCCCTTTTGGAAACAAACATGCAGTGGGGGAGGGGAAGGTGGGGAGTAAATGTTGCCACTTGCTCTGAGCATTCCTTACCAAAAAACAGGAATCATGTGAATGATCAGTTGTGAGGAATCGTTTGAGTAAAAAGAGAATAATAGCTACCCGGAGGTAACTATCAAGCAGTAATTTCATTGAGTGGTTCAGATGGTAATAGAAAGTAATTGGATTAGGTTCTGGTCTGCAACTTACTCCAAGGTATTCTTTATTCCACATAGAAACAATTTGAGTCCCTCAGTTAAGATCACCATTCCATAATTCAGTCACAATTGTCCATTATTTTCTGTATAAACTATTTCAATCCCTCAGTACCGATTATCCTATATATGTAATAACTTAGATGATGCCTTGCAGTTACTGTTCATTTAATATGAGTCCAGGAAGGGGTAGTACACTTTTCAGCAGATTTTTTTCAACAGCTGAAGGCACTGATCTAGTCTGAGGCCCTTGACATCCACAACAGAGATGCAATTACTGTAACATCATTACCACAGGTTTATGAACATCTAGTTTACAGTTGCTTACCAGAAAATCCTATGTCTGGTCACATTTCAGAATGAACAAGTCTCTTCACCTAAGCAGAGGCTCCTGACCAAATAATTCTAGCCTCTCAGATAAAGCACCTTGGAAATAACACAGCAGATCAATCAGCATGTGAAAAAGAAAGCTTGGGTTAAAGTTTCGGCTGTGATCCTTCATGAGGCTTGGAAGGGACACACCTGCACTATTATCCTGCCTTTCTCTTTCAAATACTAAGTGACCTGTGCATTCCCGTTAATGTCTCTATCTATTTCAGATTTCCAGCCTACCCACTCCTTCCTTTTGATCTTATAGCGCCTTTTTACAGTGTGCGGTTCGGCAAAACACATATAGCAAGATCGTTCTGATAACCTCAATTGTGCGTATTTGAATGAAAGACTTTGTCAGGGAGCCCTGGGAAAATTGTAGTTTCATCTGTAAATTCTCAGTATCCCTGAGCAAAACTTTCCTCGTGTGGTTCAGTGCAGTGACAATGATAATGTACGATAACAGGGACAGAATGCCAGAGGTTAGAGTAATCTATGTCATGGCACTTAGCAACATGAGGATTTTTGTTTGTTCCCTGGAATTTCTCCTAAAAGTGCAGCTCATGTCTGACAGAAATATTTCAGGTGCAGTTCAACTGGTATGTGATGTGAAATGGAAAGGAGGATAACTTAACACTTAACAGAAAACTGCCAGCACTTACCAATAGATTAGTACAATGATGTTAGACAGTAACAGGATCTTTCATTTAAGAGTGTTTGGCTGCTGGCCATCAGTCAGCTTTGGATCTCGGGCAGCTGGTGATACAATACACCACATAAAGTGCTGGGGCCGATTGAGGAAATACTGACACCTTAATATAATGTTTACATTACCTTAAAACTCTCCGAGCATGTTAATTTCAGGTCACAGGTCGCTTCCGCCTTTCGTATTATATAGCACCAAAATTTATATCATAACTACATGTGTCTCTGTTCAGACAAGGAAAAGGTAACAGCTGGCTCCAATCCAAAGGAAAAGATTGAATTCACATGTAAAGCAACGTTCCTTTTCGTTGTAATTTCCTGTTTCAGTTCAGAATCACAAAGACTAATAAAATAAAGTTGATACCAATTCCTGGTCTCGCTCCTGTACCAACATCTTAAAAAAAAAAGTCACAGTGCAAAACATTCCGAGCAACCTGCAGTGATAGAAATTTATAGTTTGATAAATGTCATCTGTCAAGTACATTAACTAAACCCAAACTTTCATTACAGACACTGCATCACTTAAGACTCCGAAACAGATTTCATTACTTTTGACACAAGCATTCTCTAAATGTCAGCATCGTTATAGATTAAAAATGGCCTCAGCAGTTTAGTGTAGGTGAATATAAATCTGCAGAAACCTAAAAGGCATCTATTAGAAGCAATTACTCCTTAAGGCACTATTGACTTACACTCTATCACTGAGGGTATTGTTTGTTCATTACAAAATATTATATCTCTCACAGATGACTGCGCTCTACTCAATTGTATTTGATTTTAGCAATTATCACACATCAAAATGTTAGAAAGAGCTTTATTCCATAAGCTTTGCAATCCTAACTTTGCTCCATCTGTTCTTCTTCACCATTGTGTCCTGTTGCACCTAATATCAAGGTTTACTATAATTTGACAAGAGTGACATTTATAAGGAAGTGTACTTTCTACACATGAGATCACATTAACAATTGGCTCTGGAACAGAAAATTATGGGGGTGGGAAGTGGGGTCACTCCTTGATCACCAGCTCTTCTATCAGATGTGAGGTTAAATCGCGGTCCTGCCTGTTTGTTCTTCAGGTGAACGTGAAAGGTCTCAATATACTGTTCAACCAGAGAAGGGAAATTCTTGTCCTGGTCAATAACGCTCCAAATAAATTGATCCTCCCCATGACTATTTGTGAGATCTTGTTGGCACAAATTTGTTGTCATATTTCCTAGAAAAAAACTCTGAATTTGATAGTAATGTACTTGTGAAGAACTAAGAGTGATAGGGAGCCATTGAAATGTAAGTTCATGTTGAAGAAGCATTTCATAGTCAGGGGAGTGTTAGAGACATTGCATTAAATGGGTTTTCTGTAAAGATTGCAGAAATGAAACTGTTGTAAGAGTGCACATGTTCATTTGTTACCTGTTATAGGAAGTGTTGTAATATAGAGAGGATGTTCTATGTGTATTTCTTTAACGAGTGAATAGGAAGCAATTGGATACTCTTAACATAGATTTCAAATACATGAAAGCGTCTTGAAATAGGATACTCACTGTATTCAACAAGTGGAAAATGATCAGAATGCACATTTTTACGATCCCAAAAGCACTGGGCCTGAGACCTAGCTTACCACTTCTACTTAGAATAATGGGTAAGAAAACCACAGATTATTTCTGCGTAAATTGTTACACAGTGACTTTCTAAGACCAGCTCCCCTGAGGCACATCGACACGATTAGGATAGCTCCCAATTCACTCAGAAAAATTGTCTCATTCTGTTCAGTAATGATGCAGAACCAAGGATGGCAGACTGGATTTTAAGCCTCCAGCAGAGAACCTGTACCTCTTTAGTCCATGTGGCTAAATACTGCAGATTTCCTTGGCATTTTGCAGGTGTGACAGATGGAAGGCATTGAATAAGATCACAAATTAGGATTGGTTTTTGAACCTTAAACTGATCTTTGCAATTCTATGCAGAAGTTGCTGTGCGAGGTCACTACTGGACTCAGAATTCTAAAATTCCAGCAGAATCTCCCTTTCAAATGAGAGGAATTTCCAACAAACTACAAAATGATCAAGGTTCAAAATTTGAGCATTAATGACTTTCTGCCTAAGAATCCTTCAGCTTGATTTATGACTCGCATTTACCAAACAGGCAAGCGATGCCTAGCAGCAGAAACTCAATACTTTACCAACCTTAGCCATATTGACAGCTTGTTCAGTTTAGACAGCTTGGATCAGTTCTATAAGCACTTTGAGATATTCATCTTGTGTGAAAGATGCTATCCAAAGCAAGCTGTTGTTACAGTATTCAACTAGGATGTCAACCATCCACTGAACACTGGAGCTATGGATTATTCTACTGCTTTGGTCCTGTTATAGAGAGAGGATGTCAAAACTGCAGTGTAATGGAGATTGTGAAATATTAAAGATTATTGGAATGCAAAGTTATTGTCTTGATGGAGGATGCACTTTTTGATCTAAAATGTAGTTTGATATCATGTTGTACATTAAAAATATAATTATGATCCATCTTGATTCTTCCTCCAATATTAGAAGTAAATTTACCCTTTTCCTTTCCGCATCAGGTGTCAGCCTATTGGTGCCTCAGGGGGCAATTCCTCAGGGCAAGTTCTACGAAATGTACCTAATAATCAACAAGAGAGAGAACACACTGTAAGTACAGTATTATGCTTTCTAATGTGAATATCTGCATCTTGTACACAACAGCCTGGAATGATATGGTGCTTCATGTGGAGAAACAGCTCCTTTGTCCTATAGGGATGACAAAGAGCTGGGATGTTCGATATAGGCAAGGTCGAGGAGGAAGTTTCTTAGGAGTTATTTAAGACAGAATACACAATGAGCCTAAACACTGCAACGGCACAGTAACGCCTCAGTAATGCAGAACTTGTTGGGCCAACACCATTCAATTACAGCACCACATTCAAGTTCCAAAAAACAAACATGCATTTGACCTTCGTCTTAAAAGTCACCACCATTCTTCCTCTTTTTCCTGGCTCCTTTTACAAGGGTTTTGTTGGGAAATATTCTGGCAAGCTATGTGCCTGGAAGAACTGCTCTAACAACTTTACTCACATGGTATGTAAGATCACCAGAGCAGTGGTGGTCTCACATACTGTGTACATTTTTTTTTAAATGTTGTATATATTGTAAATTCTGCATGAGGATAGATAAAATGTTATTTTTGCAATTCTTCTTCAGAGAGAATTTGTGAGGCATGTCCAATGATCTTCCAAATAAACAAGTGCACTGGAGGGAGTTAAGTCTACACGACTTGTTCAGTGCTTGTCCAAGCCAAAAAAAAGGGGATGTTTCTCATGGTTACGAGTAAACCAGTGCAGTGAGAAGCAGTTTCAGTGACATCAATTGCCTGTGCCTCACAAGTATGGTGCACCTATTAAAAGTGATTCAGATTTTTTTTTAATACAGTAGCTCATCATTGTCATTTGAAGGCCAATACAAATGCCCTGAATTCAATGCAAATGAGCAGCTTTAGAAGACATTGAAATATTAGTGAAAACAGCACCTGACTTCTTTCTCACTGTTGCAATAAATTGTTCTGTGTGTGTGTTGAGGGGAATGTACACCCATTATTATGCTGGAGGATGGTGCTTGCCATGTATTTGTCTTTCATCTGCTAATTGTATTACAAGCTTGGGAGTAAAAATCATATGGCTCTCAATAACAAACCTCTACAAACACAGACCACCACTCAGAGGTGAGTCCTGAAAGCTCTTTCAATTATTGAAAACAAGCTTTCAAGTTGAAACTGAATTGAACAATTTTCCAAGTTCTCCGCACTCTGAAATACTATGTTAAATAGAGTAACTCTAGTACCAAGGGGAATTTCTACTCCTGCATTGTGAAAACACTTCTTATATTAGAGTGTAGACTTCATCCCTGGCCTCATCTCAAGAGTGAACTGTCAAAGTGTTACTGCATTCTGGTGTGCGTGTGTGTGAAGTGTACAAGTTTAAATGCAGCAACAAAAACACAAGGTAGAAACTACTAGAATTTTGCTTTTAAGCTTTTTTTTAAAGTATGACCGTGCTGCCATCTTGTGGTAAAAATAATTGCCAATGTTTTTCCTTTATTTTTGTGAATATTGAGGAAAAATTCCAGAAGCGAAAACTGCCATGTTTGTTGCTTTAACGATGACTGATCTTTGGATATTTTTCAAAGGCCTCCATCTGATGGCTCACAGAATGTCCTAAGTCCCATGGTAACCTGTGGCCCAACAGGGATGCTGCTGTGTCGACCTGTTGTCCTAAGCATCCCCCACTGTGCAGATGCCACTGGATCGGACTGGACCTTAAAACTCAAGACACAGTCTCACCAAGGGGTTTGGGAGGTAAGGAGTGAGAATTCCCAAGTTCTCTGCTAATGTAATATTTCAGCTTTAATAACGGTTTGAATGTATCCTTAAAAACTATAAAGACGTGCATGTATGTTGTGCGGATTTGTTTTTATCCCATTTGTGTATGTGGATTTTCTCATCACTCTACTAGATCTCCTGCAAAATGTGCAATATCCCCAGCCGAGAGAGCTAGTAGGCTCTGCTTGGTTTTGTCAATGTCTTCCTGTTAGACACAGAAGGGTCTTCAGGTCAGCCAGCTCTCTGATCTGTGTGAAAGCCCCTTGTCTCTGCTTTGTGCTCACTTCCCCCTTCTATCCAGTGACAGAATTGAATCTGGGAACTTGTTTTGTGGATGTCACGGATCCATTACGACGCTACAACACTGATCAGGCTGGCCTGGGCACCTCACAGTTTGTTTTGTGTGGTCCTCTTGCTTCTTTGTTATTCTTTACTCATATTGATGATAGATGCCAGAGCTTTATCAAATTGCAGTGTGAAATCTTGCTGCATTCACTTCAAATTAGGGCAATAACCAAATGAAATATGGCTTGTTTGCTTGTCATAATGACAAAGCTGTGTAAAAAAAAAAATTAGATTACTGAAACCTTTCAAAATTCTGTCCTCTTGAATATGACATCAGGTCATATTTATTAGATTTAAGTGTCTGAGGAGGATTACTTAATGTCTGGGCTCAGATGCATTGTTTGATTGATTGAATGGTAAGGTAGACTTCAGATTGATTTTGCCTATTTTAAAGATATATTAGTTTTTCTGACCCACAGCAACAAGTTTGCCTTAGCAAAGATATATATATCATTTTTGAAGACACATTAAACTGCTTGAAAGAGGTAATCTACAAAGAATTTTAAATGGAAGATTGTGCGACCTGCATTTCTCAAGCTACGTAGATATAAGTGGAGCTTGCAATGTGAGGAGGCTCAAAGGAATGATGCAACTAGACAAGACAGATTCAGTTGGTCAAATAAATATGACGGAAAATAGACAAAGCTCTGGGTGGGGTGAGTGAATACAGCTCATGTTAGGGTAGGCTTTATTCTTGAGTTCAAGAAGGAACAAACTTGATTCTCTGAGCGACTATTTCAAGGTTCCTGCTTCTTTAATACCCAATGATGTTATTGTAAGATTATTAATGAACTGATGCTAAGTTATTTGCACATAAATTTCTGCCTTGTATGCTAAATGCCTTGGATGGCTGTGTTATCTTTGCCAATATATTCAGGAAGGGAAGTAGATGCCCGTGACTTTTGCCGATGGCTGCAGTCAGCTTGAGGCAATGTTTCTGCTTCTCACTTACTGAAAGGAAGCTCTTGAGTCCGAATGAATGGAACCGGCATCATTCTAACCTTACAATGACAGTTTATAGTTCAGTCTTGTTTGCAATTGAGCTGGCCTTTTTCATTACTGTAGATTTCTATGTCATTATTTCCAAATAGGTTGACTGTCATAAAGGTGGGGATTTTTGCATATTGCTGGTTATATTGAGAGACCAGATTGCAATGAAGTATGCAAAATAAGCAGGAGAAACTGGCATGTTAATGTATCAAGGAAGTGAGCAATTTATGCAAATAAATATATTCAATAATGTGGGTTATGATGGATCTGGTAAAATGTACAAGTCTGAACTGGAAGAGATTAAAGGGCTTGAGATCTCTTGACCAGGCTGATATTTTCTATTTGCCTGTGTTAATAAATACAGTCTATTCACCTATCCAATCTAGGATTCGTTGCAGCAGTTATACACATTCGTGAGCATTGTTTCTTTCATTCCTTTCATCTGAAATGCACTGCTTGTCTGTTCTTTCTTTAGGACGTGGTGACACTTGATGAGGATAGAATAAACATTCCCTGTTACTGTCAGCTGGATTCCCAGTCCTGCCACATCCTTCTGGATCAACTTGGCACTTACACACTTGTTGGAGAGTCCTTCTCAAGATCTGCCATCAAAAGACTCCAACTTGCCATATTTGCACCCACCTCATGTACTTCTCTGGAGTACAGCCTTAAAGTGTACTGTGTGGATGATACTCCTGATGCTTTAAAGGTACAGATTACTTTTAAACTCCCTCTGTGTGGATTTTTCTTCTCAAAATAACATTTTACTCCCAAGTCAGACCCTCTTTATAAAACTATTTTAAGAGTCCTGCAGGAAGTCAAGTGAGTCAGGAAGTTGCATTAAATTGGAAAGGTGTGTGTATGGTTTCCTCATTAGTAAGTAAAGAAAACCTGAACAATGAAGGGAGTCTTCCTGCTGTCACTCATTAAGACCATTAAGAAAGAAATCCATCCTGATGTGCCCAGGGTTTGTAACATTTGAAGCAAACAATCACGAAAGGGAAATTGTAAATATTTAATGGAATCATAATGAGCAGTTAGCAAAGTCATTAATGAGTCCAAATAAAATCAACCCGGACTTTCATGCCCAATGCAAAAGCCACATTCACTGAGGCAGATTTTTATATAAAAACATTTTGGTAATTTTAATCACTGAAGTGAAGATTATCAGATTGTGTACATCCTTAACTGGGGAAAAATGTAGAAAAGGCAATTTTCTGAGATGTGACCTGGTGATTCATAATATTCAACCTCATCATTTAATCCATAGATTGACACTAGTCACTGTGCCAGTCTCTCATATCTGATGTGGTAACTTTAAAAAATATGGGGTTTTCCTACTGTCATCATTCCTGTGATTCTACCATCAACACAGGAGGATATAAAATATTAAAAATCTGTTGGATTTTCTGTAAGTCTTATTAAGCTTAAATGAGGTGTTCTCCTTCAGGAACAATATCATATGTGAGTCATGAAGGTAATGTCATGTGGATCAGTTTGTTGAAAGTTTATAGATGGACTTTCAGGAAATAGCATTAAGTTTCATTCATGCTCCCACAAATCACACAAGTCATTGCACTTCACAGTATTTTCTGCGAAGTACTTTGGGACATCCTCCCCAAAACATGTAAGGCACTATAGCAAATGTAAGGATTATTCTTATTATAACTTTGCATTTGTGTGAAGGTGTGTGACTTCTATCACTCTGTTTCTTTATCGTTTCCCTGAGCTGATTAAGGTTTTGGATCATAGATTTTGGGCTAGTCTCCAGAATTGTGCAAGTTTTCACAAAACAGCACATAGCCTAGTATAGGCGACATGGAAGCTCAAAGTGACTTTGGTTCAAGTACAAGAAGTCTCCAAATCACTCTAGTCACCTCATTTTATGTGATGTTTAATTTATTGTTCATTTTTTTAAGGCAGATATCAATAATGCCATTTAGGCTTTCAGCAAATAAATGACAGATTTATTTTCTGTTTTAATTATAAATATATTGGCAAAATCACATCTCTGTAATTGCTGTCTGCAGCAGCTTTGAAAATGTTATTGATTGCATTTGCTGCAGTAGAATTTGTTCATGTATGAAGTCATTTTTAATGCTTTGGGCTAAAAGAGATGAAGGAGCTTTAGGTAAAATGAATACGATTTTAAAAAAATCACTGAACAGCATTTTTTTTAATGCGAAGCATTGAGAACGTCTCAGCATTTGAACTGGAAATGAAGAATTCAATGATTGGAAACCATCTCAAACCATCTCAGTCCACATATCATTGCAATTTAGTTGACCTTTGAATAACTTCCTTTGTTATTTACTGGTGAAAGCCTTACCCCTGACTTGATATTAAGTGTTGGCCAAGCTCATTTGGTAGTTCTCTCGCCTCTCAGTCAGTAGGTTGTTAGTTGAAGCCATTGCACAGGACTTTGAACTATTTTTCTTGGTTGAATGTCCAGGGAAGCGCTGCATTATCAGAGGTACTGTCTTTCACTTGAAACGTTAAACGTCTGCCTTTTCAGATGGATGTAAAAGAAAACGAGAAGGGAGTTTCTCCCAGGGTCTTCACATAAAATTGTTCATTCACTTGTGGAGTCCTGTAGCTCAGTGGTTAGAGCATTCACCTTGCAAGGGTTCAATTCCAGACAGGGCAAAACCTTGGGCAAGTTTCCTTACTCCACACGCCTAATAATATTCCCTCCAAAAAATAAAACAATAATAAATTGGTCATTTTCAATCCACGACTGTATGTGGGACATTGCTATGCGCAATTGGTCGCCTCGTTTCCCCCACAAATATACGGTCAATTCACTTTACAGCATATTGTGTGAAGCGCTTTGAGACATCCAGAAGATGTGAAAGCGCTATATCAAATGCAAGGATTATTATTATACTCATGGCTGTTTATGGGACATTGCTATGTGCATATTAGCTGCTGTAATGCTCACATGGTCTTTGCCTACAGTTATAATAATTACTGTGCTGCACACTGAAGACGTGCTTCCAATTTGAAAGGCACTATATCACTTTTTTATTATTTTAAATTCTCCCTTAACAACCCCTTCCCCCTAAAAGATTAATATTTATTCCATGATCTGTATTGCAATCAGCAATTATAATTTTATTTCAAACATTTCCTTATAAGAGGAAATTCTTATATAAATCACGAGTTTTTTTTCATTCCATCAAAAGTATGAGCTACTACTAGGAGCCGCATGCAGTCTTACCAGTTTCTGCAAGGGGGATTTACAGACACTCCTTGGTCACAATATTTAACACTTTATATCGCTCTGTTCTGTCAATTACAGGAAGTGCTGGAGCTGGAAAGGAGCCTGGGGGGATATTTGCTCGAGGAACCCAAAAGCTTGCTGTTTAAAGACAGTTACCATAACCTGCGGCTTTCCATCCATGATATTCCTCACTCACTTTGGAGGAGCAAATTACTGGCCAAATATCAGGTTGGAAAATGTTCTTCAAATACCTCTAAGAGCTGAGATAAAGAAAAAAGTTGTTGTATTGGGGAGTTCATCTCATTCCAGTGTTTTGCTTCGTAACAGCCTTTACATTTGATAGCATCAAGATCTTGAGCAATAAATACTGTACTGTAATTAAACTGAAAACATCAGTGAATCATTAATATGTAATTGCCTGTTTTGTATTTATTAATCTTTAATAAGGAAAAATGCTTTATGAATTCCAGATTTGAAAGCTAAAAGCAGAAACCATTCAGTGAGCATGTATAAAGCTGGTTGTGCAGGAGATTGTGAGAAGAGGCCTTTTGATGCATTTATTAACCAATAAAGAGCTACAATGGTTCTGTATTGGCTGTAACAAATGTGGTCTACAAAAGTCCAGTGTTTGATCCCTGGTCCATGCTAAGCTAGGTGCTTGTAACCAGGGAAGTATTAGGGCACTATAGTTTGTTTGTGGAGTCCTGTAGCTCAGTGGTTAGAGCACTCGCTTTGCAAGTGAGAGACCTGAGTTCAATTCCAGGCAGGGCGAAACCTTGGGCAAGTTTCCTTACTCCACACGCCTAATAATAATCCCTCCAAAACCAAAAAACAATAATAAAATTGGTCATTTTCAATCCATGACTGTTTGTGGGACATTGCTGTGCGCAATTGGCTGCCGCGTTCACTCACAAATATACAGTCAATTCACTTTACAGTATATTCTGTGAAGCGCTTTGGGAAGTCTAGAAGATGTGAAAAGCGCTATATCAAAAGCAAGGATTATTATTATTATTCAGTGTTCCTTCACACCTCTCCCGCTACCTCCTTTTCTCATCCAGCAAGTTGAAAACCAGCCAGAATTCCTACTCTGCTGGAATATGTTTGTGTGTTGATTGGGTAAAGACAGCTGGAATTTACTGTCGAGGCTCACACAATATCAGTGGTCAGTTGGACAGGTGCTATTGGATTGCAAAGCCGTGTGGCACTGAAGCCCAGTTTCCCCCCTCACTTGTTGGCTGGTTCCTGAGCTACTGCTTCAAAAAAAGTCCTTTATTTTCATTGGGGAAAAAAAATCTTGAACTCAACTTACATTTACATAGCTCCCTTCATGTTGGGAAGATGTTCCAAAGCGTTTCTGAATGAAACTCTTGTTCTGTATATTGACAGTATATTCAACTGTATTTATGCTTACATCAAGGATGCTCAGCAGTGACAAATGTTGTGATCTTGGTCTCTGCCTACCAGTGTATTGCTGGTTACTGTTTCCATTGTAGAGATGTTGTAGGGTAGGCATTAGTGTGGTTCTGCGGGAGCGATTCTGGAATCCCATTAAGAGGATTCAGGTGATGGTTGTAAACCACACGGGTGGGAACTCATTAAAATCTTTCTGTTCCCTCACTTACTCAGGAAATTCCATTTTACCACATCTGGAGTGGCAACCAGCGAGGACTGCACTGCACCTTCACCCTGGAGAGGTACACTCTGGCGTCCACAGAACTCTCCTGTAAAATCTGTGTCAGACAAGTGGAGGGGGAAGGCCAGATATTCCAGCTACACACAACTATTGGAGAGGTAAAACCAACCTGACTTGAGAGTAAACTAACCCGGCTGCAATAATGAAACACTTTGGGTGCGTGACAAACATTTAGATATGAGGTTCATGTATACAGAGGATGCAAAGGGACAGAATTGCATTTGGATAGCTATAGATTTGTCCCCACTCTCTGGAACTCCATCTCAAAGTCCATCCAACTTGCTCCCACCCTCATTCAAGGTCCATCTCAAAACCTACCTCTTCGACCACACTTTCAGTCATCTCTCCTTTCCCACCGCCCTGGTCTTCACCTGCAGCTTGTGTGCCAAGCCAGTATTCTTAGGTTCCTTGGGTATCCTCCTAAAGTGAAACATGCTATATAAATTAGTATTGTATTGTTGATATTCATTATTTTTTCTTCCCATTTTACAGAATGTTAAATGTGTCAGTCCATTTCACACACCAGCTGGCAATAACATGGCCACCCAGGTGGGCCCTTATGCCTTTAAAATTCCATACTCCATTAGGCAGAAGATCTGCACCAGCCTGGATGCACCAAACACTAGAGGCAATGACTGGAGACTCCTAGCACAGAAACTAGGGGTTGACAGGTGAGCAGCGCTCATTGACAATAAAAATCATAGTTGAATATCTGTGCAACAAATGAACAATTGTCTAGAATGGTTTAGTGGGTAAACTCATAGTAAATGGATTCATTCTGACCTAAAAGGTCCTATACTCAGTCCCAAGACTATGATGAGTTAGCTGATCTCAACTAGGGTAACAGTTTAGGTGCCAAATTAAAACTGTTTCAATTAGTATTCAGTTCCACTCAAAGCAGATCACCAATATTGAATGGTACAATTGAATTGCTTGCATTCACTACAAGGTAGCCTGGAACTCTTTGACTGACAATTGCAAAGTAGATTCTATGAGCAATTCAGGTTACTCTACATTGGAACTGCCACTATAAACAGAGCAAAAAAGTACTGAGAAGTGCCTGTATCATCACCATTTTGAGAGTGTGACTGGTCCAGCAAACATGAAGAACATGGAGTGAATTTGTTCACCTTTTATAACTTGATTGTGGCTAATGGCTACAAATCCTTTGACTCTGCTAACAAAATGGATAAACCAGTCATAAAAATATTAATAAAAAGCTGAATTTCTAGTGCTGTGACAAGGTGAATCACAGAGGTTCTGAATTTCTATTTCTCAATGAGATTCCTTAGTAAGTAATTCAAGCTGTGCAAATGCGAACTCCTTCCAGTGACTGGAAGTGCATTGCACCAACCCATGGGAAATCCACCCCACTCTACCTGCACCCATAACAGAGTTCCCACAAGTTGATGGGAACTCTCACGGAATTCCTTTGCACGAAATCATGTTGAGAAATACAATTCTTTGCGTGCAGGAAATGTTGCTAATGTTGCATCAATCCAACACCAAAAGCTTTACGAAGGATGTTTTGTTTTCTCTCATGTTCAGATATCTCACCTATTTTGCGACAAAAGTTAGTCCGACTGGAGTCATCCTGGACTTGTGGGAAGCGCAGCACCAAGATGATGGAGACATAAACTCCCTTGCTAGTGCCCTCGAGGAAATGGGCAAGAGTGATGTGATGGTAGTCATAGCAACGGAAGAATGCTGAAATGTGGATAACCTTTGCAACACAATGCTGAAACTCTAGCATCTATGGTAACTGTTGTAGGACTGGGTCTCCTGCTCAACACAGCAGCAAGCAGATTAGGACATAGCATTTTATACAGAGAGCTGCAGATGTCAAGTACAATCTAGACAAACTTTTTCTTCTATCAAAGCTTTGGACAGCTTATAAAGGTCAACAGTTTCTTAGGAAACGCATTTAATTTATTATCCATATCTTTGGATGCTTTTTGCTTTATATTGAAACTTTGTATGAAACCCAAGGAATTGTTTACATACCTTGTCTATGTAGACGTTGTTCAGATAATAATGCACAAGTTTTACAGGAGAAGGAGGAGAGGAGGTCCAAGCTGCACACACACACACACCTGTTTACGGACATATCGCAGATGCAGTCAGGCAGTACAGTTGCAATCCTCGGGGCTACTTGTGGCATTTTTATTCTGTTTCATTTTATTTCTGTACGACAAAAGAAATCCTCCTTTCAGACTCGAAGAAAGGTTGACTCAGAGTTATTTTTTTTGCTTGTATTACATCTGTCTGGAATTCTCCTTTCTAGACCCATCATTTCCAAAGCTTTTCTCGCTCATATTGTCTGTCTAAAATGACCAATTAGCAGGAAGTACTTTGAAACTTCAATGCAGGTATTCTGAACTCCCATAACCCTGATAAAATACATTGCAGTGGTTCCCACCCATTCTGCACAATGGTGTAGTCCAGTATTAAGATGGTTTAAGACTGAAGACAGTGCAGCAAAGCAATACCAGTTTAGTGAAAGAATCTGCTATGGCCAAGCACATATGAAATGTTCCTGCCCAGCAACACTACAATGTCCTCACATAATACAAAGATACAATTTATAGTCTGACTGAATACTTGTGATTTCCCCCCCAGCTCCAGACAGATAATTTGGGGTTTGACAAGAATTATTATGGATGCAGGGATTTTACTGTTTCAAATGTTGTGAGATTTCAGTAACATTTATCATCTCTAACTTGACTTTTGTTACTGAAATGAAGAGAAAATGCTGTAAATCAATTGGCGTCTGAAGGAGGAAGATAGCTGAATGTTTGCAGTGGGATTCCTCATCCCTTTTCTGATTAAGGATCCTGCACTAGTTTTCTCTTCCAGATGCTGTATTGACCCATTATCAGTTTCTTCGATTTTCTACCTTGACTTCAAATCTGCAGCATTTTATCTTGTATTGCTCGTTACTGTTTATTTTTATTTGAACACAAAATGGAGTAGGGCACTAGGGTTGATGGGATGTCATAGTGGGGAAATGCACATGCATGCCTGTTGATGGTGAGCAGTGTTTAATTTGCCTCTGGTTAAGGTTTCACACTTTTTCTCCAGCCATACCCCCCTTTCCCAAATTACCGTGTACTACATCTTTTTTAATGAAAAGAAGTATCAGTTGGCACACAAATAGGGTACTTCACCAAAACCCTGCTCAGTCAAACCTCACTGATATAACTTGGGCCCCTAACGATTGGGGTCTCTTATTGCCTTGTTATGGTTTAGAAACATGGGAACTGGAACAAATGAAGCCTCTTTAAAGCACTTGGAATGGAATGTTGAAATGGTTGTGAAATAAATGTGCTGAAAGTGCTTCATGTAGGAAAAGAGTTGCCTTTTTGTAATGAGCAACTTGTCCAAAATGTTCACTGGCAGAACATTGTCCAGCAGTTAAGGTCATTTTACACAAATCCCTCAGATAACAGAACCCCCTCCACCTCGGGATGCCCTCAAGAAGAGTTTCTGAGTTGACTCCTGGCTTAGGGACAAATACCCAATGATGTCTTACTCCAATGCAAACTTGCCTTTTAAAAAAAAAACACCTTAGATTATTTTAGGTGTTGGAACAGACCTTTCAGTAATATTTGTTTATGGACACTTATGAGATCTTTTACATTTCCATTGATTTTGAAAGATCTTTAGCTGACTAAAAGGTAAAGTCAACCTGAAATAGATTGACTTGTGTTGGATGTAGGAGTGTGTGACGTATTTGATATTAATGTGGTGTTGGTATGAATCTGAATAAGAAATACATAAAACTGCACCATAAAATGGTACAAATATCACTTATTTGTAAATGTTGCCTTTTTAATTGTTTTTAATATTTGGTTCAACAGGATATCAAGTTAGCTTAACGTATATTTTATTATGAAACTCATTAAGCTACATCAATAAGTATGTGAATGATTTTTTTAAATGATTGTTTTTTCTGTTCCATTTATTATCATTTTACATTAGTTATCCAGCATTCAGTTACTGCAACTGAAGTACACAAAATCACACACTCCTATTTGATCTCTTTTTAACGGAAGAATTTATATATAATATGTACAGCCAGCAGTGAGCTAAAATGTCAGCGGGTTATGAATTATTGCTCTAGATGCTTAGTTTTTATAAAATTATATTTGAAAGATTCATTACGACTCTTGGGGCTATTTCTTACAATGGTGTAATTAAGATTTCAAACCAGGATTAACAATAATTCTGCTGACTGCTGAAGGGAGGTTGGCATTTACCTTTTAGCAGCTGCTAACCAGTATTTTGCAGTATTCTTTGGTGATGTTGGCTGAAGGTGTTTTAATCAATAATCCTCCTTCTGCTATGGTAAGGGTATCATTACACCAAGCAGTTAGCAAATAGTGCTTTTATTTCTTTTGTTCACTCCCAAGTGCTATGCAAGTACATAGGTTATTCATTTTCAGACTTACCTTAAAGGCAGCAGTTCTTTATGTATACTTTTCATATTTATATGTATAGAAAGTACTAGAATCTATTGCTGTGTCCCTCTTTTCATGTATTTGTTCATTCTGTAAACTACCAATTGTAAATACGTTTAGCATTCCTATTGTAACAAATTAATTTTTATGCAATAAATTATATTTCCTAGTTTAATGAATCAAATGCTGCATGCTTTCTTTTTTAAAATGTAATGTTTCTCATGTTTGTGCTTAAGATTGCAAGAGCTTCTGGGTCAATTGCAGTTAATTTTACCGCAATTTTCTTTCCAAACCTGTGACTTATTGCTGTACTGACAACAACTTTATTAATAGCACATGAGACCTCGGTTTAACATCTCCTAAGAAGGACGGCATGCTTGACAATGCAGCACTCCCCAACACAGACCTGGTGTGCCAGCCCAGACTATAAGTTGATCTGACCTTTGTGTGGATTGTTTTATTTTGCAGCAGGGAAGATGCTGTTTGCTCAGATTGCTGATGAAAACACAGCAGGTGTGACCTTTGATTGTCTTTGACATCAAATCATTCTGCTACCATTTTGCCACTGAGTGGTGAGAATGCCTTACTGCTATTATCTACAAAGAAACACATTTCAGCATCATATCTATTCTGCCTTTTATTTGAAACATTACCAAAAATGTGAAGATTATTATTATAAACTGATAACTTGCACAGCAGGTTTCGTGGAGGCTCAGCTCTATCATAGAGATTATTGCATTTTAACTCATCTGGAAAGTAATACAGTGGTAATGAACCAAAGAGATTTCATTTTAATCCAATAGACAAAAACAATTACAAGGATTGGATGAAACGCTGTGCTTTTTTTTTAATCTTTGTAATCTTGGACTTTTGACCCTCATTATTGCTAGGAGCAAAAAACTTGAAGAAAATGCATTGTACTAAGAAGGCAAATAAACAAAAGCTTATATTTATATAGCGCCCTTCACACAGGGTTGAGTCTCTTGAGTGCTTAACTGTGGTGGAACTTGACACGAAGCCAGGGAGAGAGGGGAGGTGACTGTAGACCCGGGCAAAGAGTAAGATCTTCAGGTGCGATCAGAAAACAGCAAAGAGGGGGCTCGGCAACGGGATTGAGCCTGAGAATTCCAGAATTTCAACAACAACTTGCACTGATATAGCGCCCTTCACATGGGGTAGTGTCCTGGAGCGCTTATAATAATTTCGGGACATGATGGCTAAAAGCATGATGGTGGAATGAAGGGGATGACGGACATGCAGAAGGCCAGAGCCGTCTGAGCAAAGGGAGTGGATAGAATAGGGGAGTATTATTGGGTCAAAAAGGTAGGGAGGTGCTAGGAAGTGAATTGTATGCGAATGTGAGGACCTGTAATGAGAATTCCCAGGATGAGGTGCTAGTTTCAGTGTTTGAATTTCAAAGGAAAGGCGCTGGTTTCACCTGGTCATGGATTTTTACAAAAATTGTTGGATCAAAATGTAATCTCTGGGCTGTCTTCCACTGTAGTAGTGCACAGATGTGTGGCCAAATGATATGTTGCTTATTACAAATGGAATTCGATGTCCAGCAAGGTCCTAACCTCTAGAGAACCATCTGGAAGTATGCTGGATGACCCTACATGGGAATAGAACAGGAATGTTGGAGCATCTCTCAGTCTGCCTGCTCTCACATACTTTCAGTGGTGTTTTCCCAGGCAGAGCCCTGGGTATTTATTTAGAAGAGTAGATTTTCTTTGTGTATGTGTGTGAGTTCATCAGCGATCCATGTACATTAATTCATATTTCATGGAAACTCAAGTCCCAAAGCCTTGGATTTTGCCAGTCTTTGCCTAATACTCTCCAGATTAGGAAAGCATCCTTCCAGAGAGAGTACACATTCCAACGCATGTGAATTTACAGATGTAGGTGAGATATATGGAACTCGTGAAATTGGTTTGGATACTCCAGCTTGGTGATGGATTTCCATGTATGTTAGACACCCAGCTGACCAAAGGAAGAAATTTGTGTCAATGAGGCTATTTTAGTAAGATCAGCTACATAAGTGCCTCTTTCTCTAAAGACCCGTAAACATGGTGCAATTTATACTAAGTTGGTTGTCCTATGCCATCTTGGTTTAAGGTCATCTTTGCACCAGTGTGATTTATAAAGTAGTTTTCACAGAATAATATTAACATTTAATATGTTCAATATCAAAGGTTCAGTCTCTCCTCCCAAATTCATCTTTGCAGGATCTGCATCGTATTTGACAAAATACTTCAAACATAAACTCTGAAATTATTGCACAATTCAGTGAGACCATCACAAAGTTTATTTCCCTGGTTCCCAAACTTAAGAATTTATTCTTACTGAAATATCTAAAACAAGTTTTACACAATTAGAAATAATTAATATGATACAATGTTATTGTTTGGATAAGATCTTTTGATGAAAATTAAGTCACTTTAAACATGTAAATACTGTATTACCAGAATTTATGTACCCTTCTTGTGACCATAACAGCAATCACTTGGATAAAAGGTTTGATCTTTGATCTATGACTTTTGAAGGATGGACTTACCGTTGAAGCTATTCAAGGACAATGCCAGACACATTAGAGTAGCAGCATCAGGCTGGTTACAATAGAGGAGAAATTTGTAAGTAGGAATCCATCTTCAAAAATCTTGGCAACCCAATTCTCCTGATTTTAATGTGTGCCTCACCTTAAGCCCAGTTTCACAGAAGTCAGTTCCAGGTTCTCACGAAATTGTGACCATTTTTTGGGTGGCACCTAAATATAATTTTGAAAACAATTTGAAACTGTTAGCACTAAAAAGTGACAAATCCCCTGGTCCGGATGGCTTGCATCCCAGGCTTTTAAAAGAGGTAGCTTATGAGATAGTGGAGGCCTTATGTCTGATCTTCCAAAATTCCTTGGATTCTGGAACAGTCCCCATGGATTGGAAGTCGCAAATGTTACACCACTATTTAAAAAAGGTGGAAAGGAAAAGATGGGGAACTATAGGCCAGTTAGTCTCACATCAGTGATAGGAAAAATTTTAGAATCATTGATTAAGGATGTAGTAGTGCGGTATTTAGGGGAGCACAATATAATTAGGCCAAGTCAGCATGGCTTTACAAAAGGGAAGTCATGTTTGATAAATCTCATAGAGTTTTTTGAGGACATTTCCAGTAAACTAGATAAGGGTGAATCAGTGGATGTGGTCTATTTGGACTTCCAGAAGGCATTCGATAAGGTGCCGCATACAAGGTTAGTCCAAAAGATAAGGGCCCATGGAATTGGGGGAGCATATTAACGTGGATTGGGGAATGGTTAACGGGTAGGAAACAAAAAGTAGGGATAAATGGGTCTTTTTTGGATTGGCGGGATGTGACTAGTGGAGTGCCACAAGGATCAGTCCTTGGGCCTCAGCTATTTACCATCTACATCAACGATCTAGATGAGGACATCGAAGCTAATATATCTAAATTCGCAGATGACAAATAACTAGGAGGAAGTGCCAAAACAGAGGACAACATTAAAAAAATGCAGCAAGATAGGTTAGATGATTGGGCAGGTAGGTGGCAGATGAAGTATAATGTAGGGAAGGGCGAGGTCATCCACCTAGGTAGCAAAAACAGTAGAGCGGGTTATTTTTTAGAAGGGGAGAGATTGGAATGTGTTAGCGTCCA